TTTAGATGAATATCCAGATAAATGGAATATAAGCAAGAAAATATTTAATATAGGTGTTCAGTACTGCGAATACATAATCTTCAGGATTCATATTTTAGTGATATTTTCTTCCAAGCAAAAGTGTCTTATCCCCACCATGAGGTACTGGAAAAATGATGGGGGATTTTATCTTGGGTTTTTTTACACCAGAGTTGTTCATTCCATTTAAATTATTTACCTTCACATAGTTTCAGGGAGTATTTATCAGTTTATGAACGCAGATGTTTTTCTCTGAGCAACAGTGAACTATGCAAATTATTCATCAGTTATATTTTGGCCACTGCACTTTCTGCTCTAATTCTCAGATCAGGTTTTTTTATAATAATCTATTGGAAAGAAGGTCTTGCTTGGACACTGGTATTTTTACTCTGCAAATTCTACAGTCAGCCTTGTTGTCTGCATTGTTTAATGTGGCAGTCTGTGTAGGCAACCTCAACAAGCCTTTAGGGAGGCAAACAAACAGCAATGTCATATTAATGATACAGCCAAGATTCACTAACGTGATTGCAAAGAATGCTAGAGTTTGTACATGTTATAGCAGAAAACTTTACATTCTGCAATTTAAAAATCAAAACAAACTTACTTTGAAATCAGTGGTCTTTATTTTCAGTTCAGGCACCTGGAGTTTGAGGCCCCTCCCTCTGACCATGACTCTTTGATGGCCTAAGTAAAAGCCAAATTTACCCTCTTTGTACAAAGTGAGCAGGGAGCTGCCTACCCCAGAGGGAAAGTTCATTAAAAAATTCTACAATGACAATTCCAAATAACCTGTTAAATGCAGTTGACGGAAAAGGACAAACTTACCTCCTGTTTTTGAAATCTCAGAGTAAACAGTAATAAATTGGCAATGGTAAATAACTGAGTTTGGTTTGCACTTGTTGTGAAATCATGTACAACTGGCAGGTCTCCTTTATATATTTTTACTAATTAATTAAAGAGAAAGCCTATGTGATTAACAAGTTAATTTACATGTACAGTGGGAATGTGCATGTTTTGCCTTCAGGCACACATCAGTGTTGACTCACAGCCATCATACAGGCCTATAATGGAGACACGGAAACATTCTTCAACAAAGAACACAAAGAAAATTAGTTTCCATAGTCACAGTTAACAGCAGTACCTACTATTGGCTCTAGTGCAAAGAGAGTTAATTCCAAAGTCAAACCTCACCAAAGGTGAGGTTGCACCCAAGGCCGACATCATTGCAGCAGCACTGTACAGGCTAAAAACAGCCTGAAGTATTTTTAGTGGCATGCAGTTTAGCTGGAACCACTAATTCAAATCCTGTTCAAAGACTTAATGTCAAAACTACTCCAAGTCCTTAAGAACTGTCTCAAATGAAGCAGAAACAGTAACCTGTAAAGATAACCTGCCAAACAGAAAGCTGGTACTATGAGATCCCCACTTGCAAGGAGATGTAGTGGTAACAAACTGTTACAGGAATAAGTCCTGAGGGCCCAAACCAACAAAACACGACAAGTGCAGAAATACTAACTTTTGTTAAAAGGTGTTATTTCTTGCTGTTCTTGTATCACAGAAGCATTCTAGAGTACAAATAAAGTCGCTTCAGAGACAGCTTTGACATACTTTAAAAGAACCAAGCATTTGTGGTCATTTTATGTTATCTCTGCCATTGGTTTAACCACCCGTGTCCACAGGTCCAAAAACCAAAAACTTCACAAAATCTGAGGTTAGTTCTCGGCTCTACCACACCCTTGAAGGAGTAATTAAGACCCAGAAACTGCAAAGACAGATGCATGCTGCCTATGCAAGTAATAATTGTGCAGCACATCTCAAGAATAGCATCAGTTCTGGCTGTGGGAATTAAGGGAATAAAACTTGCCTTTCTCACAAAAGACACAGTAAATGCAGGACCATGTGGAAATGCAGAGTGCACCAGTCCATCATATTCATACCCAATTTCATTCATTTACAATACAAATATTTCTGGAAAAGCATCCCAAGTGCATCCTCTGCAGCTAACTGGAACAGTGACACTCAGAAATAAGAACAAAGGATTCTTCAGCTGTGTGCCAGCAGACTACCAGATAGCAGTAGGAAGCTAAGAGGAAACAATGCAATGAAATCCACTGCACAACAATTCAACTACTCAAGCAGGAAATGAACAGAGTGTATGTGGATGTGCAACATTTCCAATAAAAAACTCTCACTGAGAGCTCCCAGGAAGAAAGGGTTCTGCACTGACAGCCAGTGTGTTTCTAACACAGTCCCCTCCCCAGGTGGAGTCAACATTTTGTTTTCTCCACTTCTTTTTCCTGTCTATTTACATCTGAAGTACCTTAGAGCAGGGATGGATTCTGGTGACTCCAACAGGCAACCCTTTCTCTTAACTGGGGCAAAAATAAAATGAAGTGGAAATTCCCATTAATTGGAAGAAAAGAGTTTTACTCTCCAAATTCATCTGAGCTTACACTGTGTAAAATTCCTCAGCTAAATCAGGCACTTCCAATTCCAGTCAGGCCACAGACTAAGAGTTGCCTTTCAACCCACTTCAGAAACAGGCTAGTTCTATTAAGGAGAATCAGAAAACTGAAGAGTATGCTCAAAATTTAGGATGAACATTCTAAAACTTGGGATCCACCAGAGAGGCACTTAGAGAGGGGAACCTTTAAGAAGTCCTGAGCCCTCCTCTGCTACCCATAACTACCAGGTATTCAGCAACTCTCAAATCAAAACATTTCAGCTATTGCCCACACAAAATTACATATCAAGTAACCTAAAAAGGTCTCCCATGCTAGTTCTGTTGCGCAGAACTAAAATGAAAGACATGCTGGGTTTAATTTTTTGACAAAATATGCTAATCACTGTTCTTTCCATTACCTCTCACGTGAGGTAGGGAGTGATCAAACAGCACTGACAGCCACCCCTGCCTCTCCCTGGTCTTTCACAAGGCCAACAGAAAAACGTACCAAGTGCACTGTGATCTCGAGGTGTTGTTTGACCTTGAATTACATTGAAATGATAGTCAAAGGCACATTTTGACTTGCTAAGAAATGCTGAAATAAAACTCTTTTTGACAACAACATAAATAAAATAAATGGGCTAAAACCCATCGAATTATCACCTCAAATTAGGTTTCTTAAAGCTTGAGCTTTTTTGGTTTGAGTTTTTTTATTCAAGTTATAATTTAAAAGCAGAAAGAAAAATCACAGTGAATAACTTATCACAACAACATACAGTAGCCTATTTAATTAAGAATATACAGATATATGTAAAACACACAAATTCTACATTTGTGGCAGAAAAGACTCTGCAGCATTGTTTTGGAAAGACCAAAGGGTTAGAAGCCCAGAGCTGGGAAGATGGTAGGAAGGCTACAGCAAAACTGGAGTTGATAAAACCTGTTTCTAATTTTACTTGTTATCCATTAGTAATGTATCTTATAAAAATTTGCAAAATGAAAACCTTCACAAAAACACTTACCTGGACAGAAATGGACACTGTCATTCATTTCTAGCCCATTTCTACATAGACTAGTGATGCTCTGCCAATGTGATGGCACTGAGAGGGCCCCAGCAGTGGAGGATGGCTGAGGTGGGTGGTTGGGAAGAAAAGCAGGCAGAAGCTGGGAAAAAAAGTGGTGGGAAATGTTTAAAGGTCTCTGTGAGATCACTGATAAAACTATAGAGGGATGCATTAAAGAATCAGAAAAAAAAAACAGTGCCCAAGAAGTATAAACAGCTTGAAGGTAAATTGGGATTTAAATCAAAATTGAAGAAATAAGTTTGGGACCTGAGACAATAAAGTCAAAGCTGGTATGAAAGAGAAGAGTGCAGGAGGTTAAGCATAGCTGTCCATGAGCCAATACCAACCCAGGCAAGGCCTCTAGCCACTGCACACGGCATGAATGGAACATCTGTAAATAGATCCCTGGAAATTATGTCTATTTGTGTCCACTGAGAACCGGACAAAAATCAATTTAATTTGCACCAAAGAAGGTTTAAATAAAACCTAAGACAAACACTGAGTATGGGAACTAAGAGGCTGCAAATTGTTGTGCATGAGTGGGCATTTCTTTCTTAACATGAGACTGGAGAAACATCTCCATGGGATGGTCAGAAACCATGTGAGTGGCATCAGGGTGAGGATGTTGGATCCATGGAGCTCTGAAAGTTTCACAAAGACATGTTCATTACCCTAGGTTTTAAACTATTTGATATGTGACAAAGGGGTCATGCAAGAGGGGCAGCTGGCTTAAGACCAAAACTTCATGTATGTTGAGGGTAAGATCCACTAACACTATTCTCCTGAATCAGGACAACTACTGGAGTCCATCTCCTGTCCTCTGACTTTCTGTTGAGCAGGAAGGATGACTGCTGTAAATCCTTGGATGTCAATGCCTCCAAATGGGAATGGCACAGGTACCAGAGGCAGCTTATGTGCTCTGCTGCACAGAACCACAGAATGTTGAGGGAGCTTAAAGATCACCTCGCCCCAAACTCCCTGCCGTGGGCAGGGACACTCCCACTAGACCAGGTTGCTCAAGGCCTTGTCCGACCTGGCTTTGAACACTGCCAGGGTTGGGGCATCCACAACTTTCCTGGGCAACCTCTTCCAGTCTCACCATCCTCACAGTAAAAAATGTCTTATTAATACCTAACCTAAATTTCTCCTCTTTCGGTCTGTACCCATTACTCCCTGCCCAACCCACCACAGTTCCTGACGAAGGGCCCTCTCTGCCTTCCCCGTGCAGCCCCTGCAGGAGGCTGCTGTGAGCTCTCCGATCGACCTTCCTGAACAGCCCCAGCCGCTCCCACCGGGTCTCCCCCTGCCGCCTCAGTCCCTCACGGGACACCGCTCTCTCTCTGCCAAGGCGTGAGATGCGAGTGCGAGGGCTCCTTTCCCTGCGGGGCCCGAGCGCCGCCGCCGCCAGCAGAGGGCAGGGCCGGCCCCGCCGCTCCGGCCGCGCCGCCGCCACATCCGCCGCCGGCGGGAAGGGGGAAGGGGCCGGCGCCGGGGCCCGTGAGGCCGCCGCGCTCCCGCCGCTCGCAGCCGGGCCCGCGGGCCCCTTGCCGCGCTCACCATGCCGCTGGGGCTGAAGCCCACCTGCAGCGTGTGCCGCAGCACGTCCTCCTCCATGTGGAAGAAGGGCGGGCAGGGCGAGATCCTGTGCAACAACTGCACGGCGCGCTCGGCGCCGCCCGCGCCCGCCGCCTTCGCCACCACCTCGGCCGCCGCCCAGCACAGCAACGGGGGCGGCGGGGGCGGCGGCGGCGGCGGCGGGAAACAGGTGGGAAGGGTGCCGGGGGGAGGGTGACGGAGCTGCCGGGGCTGGGCGGGGCTGGGGCTGGGGGGTTTCGCGTTCCCCGGTGTGCTCATCCCGCCGCTCCCCCCAGAGCAAGCAGGAGATCCACCGCCGCTCCGCGCGGCTCAGGAACACCAAGTACAAGTCGGCGCCAGCCGCGGAGAAGAAGGTTTCCACGAAGGGGAAGGGCAGGAGGCACATCTTCAAGCTGAAGAACGTAAGTCCGCGTGTGGCGGAGCGGGGCGGGGACGGCAGTGGGAGTCGGGAGCTGTGCCGGGCTGGGGCGCACCCGGAGCCCGCAGGAGGGGCTGTAAATATAAACTGGTCACGAGAGTTCTGTGAAAAAAATCCTGGTATTTTATGGTTGATTTGTTTTAGCGCTCTTGATTTTCTACCTCTGTGTTCTTTTCTTAGCCCATCAAGGCTCCTGAGTCCGTATCCACTATAATTACAGCAGAATCAATCTTTTATAAGGTATGGTTGTTGACAATCTGATTGCAAAAAAGATCATGCTGTTTCTATTTCCAGTTTCAAGAATTATCACAGATAATGAAAGCACTAGGGACATATTCACAGAAACTGGTCTTCCTTGGCTAGCAGTTATGTAGGATTTTGTTCTGCATTAATTATTGCTGTTAAGTCTTGCCAGGTAGTTTACCTAAGCAGTTTACATAGTTACTCTTGTCCCGTTTGGGTTTTTTTTTTCCTTTCAAGAAAAAAGATGCATCTGGTTTCCTTAGTAATTATTGCAATCAATACATTTCTAAACTTTTTGACTTTCACGGTGCAGAGGTCAAGCAAAACTGACTAGAGCTGACTGTTTCGATTTGTGTGATGTTTCCTGCCTTAGACACAGAGGATATTGCCCGTAGAGGAGTTGAGTTGCAGTGCCCCAACATCTAAACTGGCTCCTGTTTCCAAGCTGGTGCAAGCAGTCTCGAACACCCTGGGAACAAGATATGTTGACTTCTGCAATGAAAGCAGAAGGGAGACTTCTCACATCATTCATTCTTGAGGGCAGCCTCACCAACATGCCAGGGTGTTAAGGTTTTGAGGTTCTGAAATTTGCTTCTGTTTCCCAGCAGTACAAGCAAACAATTTGAATTGTTTTTCCCCCCCAGAGAAAATCTCAGGATAGTCAGTGGAAGACTGCACACCCAGTGGTGGACTGAGATTCTGTATATTCTCTAAGGACCTGATGCTTCACACCTGCCATCCCAGATGAATCTGTTTGCTGTTGACTGGTTCAGAAAATAATTACTGATTTGTGTGTTTCTAGCAGAAATTCCTAAGAATTATAACAGAACTTCTACTTAGCCTGCATAAGCAAAATGTTGCTGTTTTGGTACTTTGCTGTGTTGTTGTGAAGGGGATTGTTTGGGGGTTTTGCATTCTTTTTATCTGTTTTAAAAATCGAACCCTCCTGGGTGATTCTTGACTGACTAACTCACCTTGGCAGTGCAGGGGCTGCTCTGGGCTCTGCGGCGCTGCTGCAGCTCGCAGGGAGTCGCCTCTGATGCGCAGCCTCACGTGTTAGAGAGCACCATGGGCAATGGCAGCAGGTGGATCTGAGTTTTGGAACTCTTTTGCACTCAAAGTGAACTTCTTCATACACAGAAAGCTGCTTCCCCTGCACACACAGGGAAACCACTACAGTTACTTTTCCTGGAAGGTGTCGTTGCACTCTTCTGCTTTTGACCGAATGAGTCCGTCTCTGCTCTGCGGTCAGGAGCTGTAGCCTCAAACTCCTGGATATTGGGGGACTGCACAAGCAGTGCTGATGACTGGTTAGGTGAAACAGCTCTCTTTCTTAGGCCACCATTCTTTTGCATGTGGCTGAATTAAAGCTGCCTTTCAAGACTGGCATAATTTGAGATGAAATTTAAGGTATCAATACTTAAAATATGAATCAGAATCACAGAGTGAAGCTGACAAAATCAGATTGTTTGATTTCAGTGTAATTTATGTGTCTTCTAGGGTGTATACTATCAAATTGGAGATGTTGTCTCAGTCGTTGATGAGCAGGATGGAAAAACATACTATGCTCAGATCCGCGGGTTTATTCAGGACCAATACTGTGAAAAGAGTGCTGCACTAACCTGGCTCATTCCTACACAAGCCAGCCCCAAGGACTGTTTTGACCCAGCATCCTATATCATAGGTAATTTCTAAGCCTTCACTTTACACAAGTACCTGTATGTGCCTAGACTAATGAAAAATTGTATCTTTTAAATGAACTTTATAACTTCTCATTTCATTTATTCAAGTCCACATTTTAGACCCTAATCCTATAAACATTTACTGTAACAGCATTTATCTTGTGTGTATAATATGATTAGCACTACTGCAGTGAGTGATTATCTTGTACTGTGATTATCTGAGTGTGCTCACGGGGAACTTCAAAGATCAAATTATTACTCCATAGATGGGTTTATACTGTAGTAACTTTGATTCTGATAATACCAGTCCAAGCTTGTTTCTTTTAAAGTGACCTGAATTACCTGATCTTTATCCTGGGTATTTAAAATGCACTATGTGCAAGCACTGGCATAGAGAGTGTTTTGCTAACAGTGAGAAAATTTTTAATAATTCAGAAAAGTCCTTTTGACAGGCAGGCCACAAATAGCATATATTCCAAATAACTACAGTGCTTGACATAAATAACTGAATGCTTCAAATGAAGGGGGAAAAAAAGGCCAGCCAAGCAAAAATAGAGGTAGATGTTTCTTGCCTAGTATTTTAGGCTACTTGAACAGGAAAGTCATTGACTGCAAAGGCAAAATCTCTAAATGCTGTTGTTGCATATTTTTGATTCCTGCATGCTCCAACTTTATGCCTTTAGATTTTGTCTTTGATGATTTATTTTTTTTTCCTAGGACCAGAAGAAGATCTCCCAAGGAAAATGGAATATTTAGAATTTGTTTGTCACGCGCCTTCGGAATATTTCAAATCTCGATCATCTCCCTTCCCTACCGTTCCTACAAGGCCAGAGAAGGGCTATATATGGACTCATGTGGGACCTACTCCTGCAATCTCCATTAAAGAAACTGTTACCAATAATTTATAATTATTTTTAAGGAATACTTCGGACAAGTTATTTTGCGTGTATTCTCAGGCCCGTGAGCCTCATACAAGAGTTTTTTAAAAATTATAAAATGTGCCATTTTACTTTATGGATTACAGGATTTATTTATTTAAAATATATCTTTCAAGTGGAAGTTTCCATTCCAGTTTATGCATCATTTCAGTGCTCTGTTCTTCAGACACTATTGCTCATTTTGGGACAAACCCACAAGTTTCATGCCATCTTTTGACTTCTCATAGTTGCCTTTAGTTTTCTTACTTTCTAAATTATTTTCCAGAAAAAGAGTTAAAAGACATAATCATCCAGCACTTTATATACTTGTTTAATTCAGTTAACTGTGACTGCAGTTTTTATTTACTTGTTAAATAATTCAAGACTAGCTTCAGATAAACACTAAACATAGTCAGTGATGCAGGTAATGATTTTCTGTTACGTGGATTACCTGGATTTCTCCAGACTGAAACCTCTCATCCACAAGGAGGGACTTGTATTTAACAGTCATCTTTTAAGGGAATTTTGTTTCTTTGAGTCTGAAACGTAATGTCTGTAGCTTTCTGCTAAACTTTACTTATATAAGGGCATAAGTCTCTTGGAAAGTTGGATGCAAATTTAAAAATTATTATTATTTGGCTTTGCCATCCTGGCATCCTCATGGCAGGAATGTATCTATCTGCATTTCCTGAGCAAACTTACACGGAGGTATGATCTGAGTTTAAAATTGATTTTAAATTGTTTTTTCAGTCTTTCCAATTAATGGTGACTTAAAAAATCCTCATGCAATTAAAATGAAAAAAAATCACATTTGCTAAGAGAAATAAAAACTAATTTTATGTATTGACAGTCTCAGTATACCAGTGAAAATACATAAATAGCAGAACATTAGAAATGACACATACTAATGCTAAAGTTTTCTGCCCTAAATTTTTACAAGCCAGTCAGCTCCAAACACTATGAGATGTGCTTGTATGGCCTAAATTCCCAGGGCTTAGTGGTTCCTGCTGCCCGTGAAGGATAACAGCTGTAAGTGGCCTTAAATTTAAATGTACAGATCTCTTCAGCTTTTTGCTTTCTTTTTATGAACATATGTGACCACAGCACCCAGAAGCCCCAAATCAATGTCAATATATTCTATAAAAGCCTGTAAAAGTTGCACTGGGCTTATGTTTTAACTTTTAGTAGAGTGGGACTCATGAGAGCAGGAACCAGGTACTATTTCAGCCTGCAGCCTCTGTTCTGCCCTCTTCAAATACAAGGAAGAACACTCAACCTTAAGGGAGTAGGTGCTACTTTACTGTCAGTAGTTCAAAATGTGCAGAATTTAGCAGTATATTGCTAATACAGAGTTAAATCTTAATCTTCAATTTCTTACAAAGATGAGATGTGTGCCCGTGTTCGGTGTGTTGCAGTGATTAATCCCAAGGTGACCTTGCTCCTGACCTTCCTCTCCCTTCTCTCTTTTCACTTCCTCTAGATTTTTTTTCTGATTTATCTTTATTAAAATACCAGCTATGAGAAGGTAAAAATAACAACTCTTAAAAGATATTTGTAGTAACCAGAATGACCAGAGTAACTCCACTCAGGTGTTTTCCCTTCCTTTCTCTGCAGTCCACAGGGTTTTCACTTGGGATCGCTGTAAAGTCCCTGTGCTGCCTTGGCATAATCCATGGACCTTTGCTCTTCTGTGGGCTGTCTTAGCTAGGCTGGAATCTTATCCTATCTGAATTATTTAGGTTGGAAAATACCTTTAAGGTCATCGAGTCCAATGAAGCTCAGGTGCTTTCCTTGTCACATCCTCATAGGGAGAGGGAAGAAAATGCTTTCATTCACAGAATCAGCTAGGTTGGAAAAGACCTCTGAGATCATCAAATCCAACCTTTGACCTAACACCACCTTGAAGTTTTGTTTTTTTGAGCTACACCACATGAAAAGTACTTGCCATTTGTCTTATTTATCAATAAATTGTAATGTAAAAGGAACAATTTTTAATCAGAATATACCTTTCTTAAATTTAGTGCTGCTGATGATTCAAGTATTATACTTCCAACTATAAAAAGACAAAATTTATTTTTTTTTTCAGAGAGCTATGGAACAACTTCCCTTAGTAAACACAACACATTTTTATTTTAGTTTTTTATTATACTGGGAAATGTAAAAATAATCCAAATAGGCAAAAATTATGGTGATAAAATCTCTAAAGAAAGTGGATCCACAAGGACTGACTGTTACTAAAGCATTTTAACTTTATTCATAGGTATTTGAATGGTTGCACTGTCCTGTTTTTTCTTGTGTTCAGAACCCAGTAACATGGGGAAATGACTGACTCACTCTCCAGACAGCATCTTAAGGGATGGACATAGCTGAAGAATGGGACCTCTGAGAGCAATGTCTCTCACTGAAAATTTCTCACCAAACAACAAAAGACCTGCAAAATGGACTCAACAGCAAGAAGGGATACCAGGATCCCACTGGAATAGGTTTTGATGCCCTGCAAAAAGCTGAGCAGGTCACCCATTTCTCTCTCCTTCCTTGTTTGGCATCCCCCCATGCCGAAATGTAGGTGGGTTTCAAACTCTGTTTCAAACATCACTGGACTGTAAATGGATACAGTACTACTGAACTTACGACCTTGTGTTAACCTTCAGAGCTTTGTGACCAGCCAACAGTCGTTTTCATTAAGGCATTTTAGTTCAAAAGATGGAACGTGTAGCTAAGAGCTGAAATCCACAGAGCTTATATAGTAATATAGCACTGTAATATTACTGTAATACAGTAATTACTGAGTAATGCATAGTACCTGTGGCCTGTGCCCCGAGGCATAACACTGCAGTTCCTTCTGCCTGCAGGAAACTTGTGGGAGGAGTGGCCCACCCTTTCACCTGAACTTTACCAAAACAATAAATAGTGGAGAGCAGTTTGCATTTGGGCAATGGCTTTGTTGGGAGCAGAATGCTGTTCTCCTCTGGGAAAAAGAGATGCAAACTGGATAAATAAGTGTGTTGCTCCTTGGGCTCCTGAAATGAGGCAAGGGTTTCCCTCTTGCTGCTGTGCTGTCCCACATGACAATCATCTCAGTCACCATGCCAAAGTTTGGATACACACAAAACCCAGGAACTGACCCCCACAGTTTGGACTTAGCCATAGGTATCCAGTCCAATCCAATAGCCTTGCTTTGAGGTAATGCAGCCTTATAAATATTATACAAGAAGCAAAGAGCACAGTTTATTGTGATTGACAAGATACTGTATGTTATGATAAAGAAACACCTTAAATGGTCTTATAGAACTGAGAACAAAAATATTAATATAGTATTGTAGTTTCAACTGCTCTTTACAATTACTGAGTTACAAAGATCATTTTTTTTAAATCAATTTTTTTAAATCATAATTTTATTCTATTTTCACACAGACAGAATTGGTACATCTCTTGGCTAACAGAGTACATCTCTCCAAAATTATAGATCAGCATTACTTTCAAGCAGAAATACTTTTACAATAGATAATAGTTGTTAATAGTTATTTTTGTGTTCCCCCCCACCACAGAGTCTTGTGATCATTGACAACAGAATTTTGTATTTGGCAACTGTGTCACCCACACAGTCACACTCATCTTCTGGAAAATTGCTTGCTTTTTTTTTTTTTCCCAGCCCTTCTAGCTGGTTATTCTTGCATTTGGTTCACAGCTTCAGTGAGATGATTTTTCTTCTCTATTTCAGTAACTTCAGTCTCAATAACAACTTCTTCATGGATGACATCTCCAGGTGGTTCATGCATCTTTATGAAACACTGAAGTACTTCGAGGTCTGTTTAACAAAACAGAAGTAGAACTGGAATCTAGTTGTGGATAGAAAGGTTGGTTTTACCTGAAAATACCAAGATTATCCTCTGATGGGCATTGCCCCTGTACCTGACCCAGAACAGTAAACCCAGGCATGTTTGCTTACATTTGGCAATTTGGGCTCCTACAGAATCTTCTGAACTCCTTCATTTAGGGAGAACAGAGCAGGAGTGTTCCTCTTTTTTCATGAAGCAGTTTAGGTTTTCTTTAGAGGTAAAGTTGTGTTCTTTGGAGGACAACATTTCCTGCTGTCGTCCTACACAATCTGTGTTCATGGTCCTTGTGTGCACTTCCTTCATGAAGACCATCACCTCATTGCCATTTCTGGTGTCATGCTCTTTGCTGTAACCCAGCCCTGTCAGCTGATCCAGGTTCAAAACATACACAAGCTATTTTTTTTTTTCTTAACATAAATCTTTCTCTAGGGAACTTCAGTAGGGATGTTTATTTTTGTCTTCAGAAGGTCAAACTGATAATTTTTTTCAATATATGTAGTATCCTACACAATTGATGTTCCCTTTCTTTCTGATTAGGTCACCTTAAGATAAAATTACATGGTAAGGCTGCTTGTGGCAGTGAATCTGAATTATGTAAGCAGAATTTGGGAACCCCTCCTCTCCCAAGCCTAGATTTCAGTAGGCCATTAAGAACTGGAGCAAAGATAACCTGTCCTTTTAATCGGTGTGCCCTTCTCAAGAGTATCTATTTCCCAAATTGTGGGAATCCACATAGGTAATTTCCCAGTTACCTCTCCTCAAGGAGCTGGGACATGGCAGAGTGAAGATGTCATCCTGCCTACGGAGGCAGAATTCCAGGAGATCTTCCTTGTTCGATCTTCTGATGGGATGCCTGTTTCCCGGGATCTTGCGAGCCCATCTTCTATTTCACTGATGGTTGTTTTGCGCCGGGTTGTTTTTATCACGTGTTTCTCACCTTCCAAAATGTCACAAAAGAACTGGTTACCATGAACTTCAAGGTGAGAATCGACTGTAGACAGCATAATGAATGGCCAAGGGAAAGCTTTGTTCAATACTGCTCAAAAAACAAAGCCTGTGAGATCTCAGTTCAGTGCTGGGTGCATAAGCCAGCTGTGAAGTCTGACTGCACAAAGTAGTCATGACGTGTTTAAAAATTAAATACGCATTCAACAGAACATCATCAAAGGTTATAAGCAAATAAAAGGTAATAAAGCGTATTGAAAATCTTACCTGTGTTCATCTTCTCATACAACCAAGAGTGGGATGGCCATAGAGAGTGTGAGAAAGCAAAACCTTTTCTGTCAGGAGAATCAACAGTTCTCCATGGTGCTGATCCTGATAACTTCTGTTTCACTCTTCCTGCTTCTTTAGAGCTCTGTTTCTAAAGTGCTTTGTAAAAGACCACTGCTAGGCAGGATAATAGACCTGTCCCTTCTTCATGAGAAATTGTCTGCAAACTGTGGAGGAAATGGAAGGAGATTTGGCATTTTATTGTTGGCCAAAACAAAACCAAAAGCAACCACTTCATGCCTGGTAAGTCTGCAGAGCTTGGCTAGGGCTTAATTGCTCTCTTGGTAAGTCAATGGTATGTTGAAACTTAACATATCCACGTAAGGCTATACAAATACATATGAGGCAAACAAATACTGTGGGACAATGACAGGAACACATTGCAATATACTGCTTTGGTAGGCTTTCTAATCAAGCTTAACCTGTTTGGCATGACTAGCAGCTCACTGAATAAGTTGAGACCATCAGAAAAGAAACTGAAACATTCACATCAGCTTTTAGTTACCAACAATATTTTTGACCAACTCACAGTAGTACTTAAAGGCAGAAAAAAGTCTTATATGTCTCTTATGGAAAATTAGTGTAAACATCAGTGCAAGATCTGGGGGAAATCTATTTCACAGATCTTTTTAACAAGACAAAAAAAACCCCCAAAAATCACATAAAGGAGTGGCATAAAGGAGTGGCACCTGTTTGTTGCCGTTCTCAGTCCCTCTGTTGATCTGTCTGCACCGACTGTCTGCTCCTTGGTCAAACCGAGAATGAAGGCAGAAGTTTCGAGTTAATGTACAAACAGATGTATTGGGGCCAACCTAAACTCTCTGTAGGAGTCCACCTCCAGCAATGGTCAAATCCCAGCTTCTGATGCCTCAGGAAGGGTATTAAGACCCTGGGAATCACTGTATTACTGCCTGAAACACATTTCAGAGGTGCTTATTTAGGACTCCTCAGCAGACTGAAGCGACTTTTCCAGTTCTGCTGTATCCTTTTTGATGCAATGGGACATAAACAATACATAACCTTCAACAGCACACATGCAGGAACAACAAGGGTTTGTTTTTTTTTAAAAAAACAGAATACTTCCTGAAGTATTTTCTATTTATTTTCTTATAATTTCTAACATTCACATTCTTTTTAACAACAGGCTCATGTTTCATGGGGGATTAGCACTGAAGAGTAATGAGCATTAGACCCTATAATATTTTTTCTTTGCTTTTATCTAACATGAAATTTCATCTGCCAACTGCAGTCGGCAAGTTTTGTGAAGGTCTTCTGTAGTATTTTATTACCAACCCTTGTTTTTACAGGCCTGAAAAGCTTACTCATTAGGGGGTTTTGCTGCTTCACTGTTCACTCCCTATCAAGATGAGGTGAGGATGTTAAACACCACAGGTCTCTCTACACAGCACTAGTGTGACACATCCATGGTGCTGGGGCACAGGTTCTGGGCTCTGCAGAACTTGGACATACTGGAACAAGTCCAGAGAAGGGTCTCAACAACGATTAAGGGACTGGAGCATCTGAAATACTCGGGGGGGATCTTATTAGTGTATATAAATACTGGACAAAAGTATTTACCAAAAGTATAGGGATCCACAGCGAGGCAATCTTACTGTGCCTCTGTAGCAGCAGTCTGTTAATTTTTCAGTTCCAGTTTTCTCTCACCAAACCTAAATAATTGAGCAAACAAGGAATTAATTCTGCAAATACTTAAAAAAAACACCCCAACAAATACTAAAAACAAAGCAAAAAAGTCCCCATACAATGCTGTCAATTGAGAATACATTACAGATCTCCAAGGGGTTTTTATAGTTAATGTATGAAAATGCTATCCAGTCAATACAGGAACACAGAAATAATCTGAAAGGCAGCTGAGGGCAAGTCCTTCCTCAGAAAGGACTCACTTAGCGTGATATACAAAAAGATGTATACAATGCTTGAGAGTTGTGTATGTCTAGAGAGAGCTCATGAATATAAAAAATATTTTGCCAGATACAAAAGTTTAACAGAATTGGAGTATTACCTGATTCAGTATTCTCAGTATTCTCATTAAAATATACAGTCCAGAATATATAGTAATATGCACAACGATAGCACAAGCTTTCAAGACTAAATGTTGCAACAGGGGGAGTTGCATTACTACTTCATGCTTGGGATAAAGTTGAAATTAAATAATTATGGTTTGTTTCCGCATTTTTAATGTTTAGAAAACCTCACCCAATGCAAATTCTCACTCCACCCAAGGCTCCTCCAAATCACATTATTTGCAAAGACCAACTCCCAAGGAACTCCAGAAAATAAAGTTCAGTGATGAGGAAGCCCTGACACTCAACTTTCCCTTCCACAAGGGAAGTGCAATGTCTCTGAATGTCAGTGGGTACTGTGAGCAGGACCTTCACAAGCAGTGAACTTTCAGTGTATTGCCTTTGATTCTGACTGAGGTTTTATCGATTGTTTATAGGTTCAGCTGCTCTGGGATGGCAGTTTCTCAATTGTTTTTCTAGCTTAGTTCCTCCAGCTATTTATGATATTACACGTACCCAAAGAAGCTGTCTATAATATTATTCATGAGAACATTTTCAGCTCCAGAAGGCTGACAAACACATGCAGATCTCTAAAGAGTGAATCTGATCTGTGATCCATCCAGACAGCCACAGTGACGCAGCAGGGATGTGGGCTATCCTCTGCTAGGATAAAGTGGGAAGGGTCTGAATGCTCAGGCTCCCATGGGCTGGCAAAGACACAGACAGATGGTGTCTAAACACAGCACCATGCTGATCAAGCAATTAGGTAACTAGGACAGCTTCAATATAACTTAAAAACAAACAAACAAAACCGTTAGGCACACATTTGTGTGTATCCAAAATACCCACTTTTTTATATGTCACCTTCCTTGAAACTGAGCTTTCTAAGTGACCTTCCTTGTAACAATATGCTTTGTCTATTGTTAAACCTCGTTTTCCACCCTGGAAGAGGACACAAGAAGTCCCTCTCGCTTCATGTTTTGAAACATCATTACCATCATCATCACATCTTTGGTAAAACGTTTTACTGTGCTGTTTTACTGTTTTGCCTGTGTTGCCACTGTTGGATCTTCTCGAGGAAGAGCACAAACACTTAAGTGTGAGTGAATTTATAATTTTCCACCAAGTGAGTGAATTATGAATATCAAGACAATAAAATTAGGAAACAATTTAGTGAGCACTATTTTGTGGACATTTTCAAAACCGAGCATTTCCACAGGGAAGAAAAGCAGCATAAAATACAGACGGGAATGTGGAAAAAAAATTATACATGACAAGCAATACTGTCCCCATTTATGCAGTCCCAGTCAGAATAGAATCACTAATCATGCTAAGTATTTTGAACTAATTAAGTTTACTAAACTCTGGAAAAGTTACATTTGTAATTTTTTGTTTGTTGGCAATTTCTTGTTAGTTGGAACTAAGAAGAACCCTTTTTGAAATCACATTAGACGTGTTTGTTTAATTATCTGAGTAGGTTGTTACAGTAGCGTAGTTTCTCTTCTGAGGGTCAGAACAATATCTTTTTACAACACTTTGAATTCCATTACAATCTACAGAGAAAGAAAACTTGATCTCGAAAAACAAGTTAAGATCTGTTCTTCATAAAATACAGTCACGGAGTTTCTCTGCATTTTGTTACAGTGCCCAGATTATGCAATCAGCTCGTGTTGCCAGAGTTGGACCCACCTGAGTCACAAAACTGAAAATCTGCAGAGATGAAACCATACAAGTGCTTCAATACTGAGAACACATGCTGCTTACAAAATAACGAGGAAAGGATGAAAATCTGAGGTCAATGTTATTGATACCTGCTTTTTAGCTCTCTGTGACACAGCTTCTAATTTTTCAACTGTTATCTGAAAAGGGTGAATTTCTTCATCAGTCACCTACAGAAGAAAAAAATCAGCAAGAATAAAAAGACTGAGCTTTCCAAGGGGAAACCAGTGTTACACAACTTATGTGGCAGAAACATCTTGCAATGACTAAGGGGAAACATTTGCAAACCAAATTTACTCATAGTAGGAGTGACAGAGCTGACAAATTATAATCCGGCCTGTCAGTGTGCACAGGAGGGGCGCAATCCTGCACATCTGATGGCAGCAGCCTAGTGCCATGCTGCAGTCTGAGAAAGGGATGGGCTGTCTCGAAAAGCCCTTCACGGGTCCCACCTCTTCACTTGGCCTCGGTTTGCACTTTCAGGTTTCTTGGGTTGTTCCCTGTGAAACCTCTGTTAATGTGTGTGAATGGCTCAAGCTTCACCTCACCCGACAAGGGCACGTGAACAGGTTGTGTTCCGACATCCAGACACATTTTGGAATTTACATCACCGTGGGATGGAGCTGGAATAAGACATCCACCTAAAAACACTAGAAAAGTAAATGAACACTTCTGATAAGCATTCCTCCCTCTGCCCGCCACCCACACTGGCTGCCTGTGGAAGGAGGAACACGCCAGGGAGGCTCCCCGACACTGGGGCGGCTCCCAAACACAGCTCCGCAGGACAGACCGACCCTTCCCTGTAACTTTATTACTGTTTCCTGAAACTTGGCAATAATTAAGGAAATGGAGATTAGCACTGAATCTGTAGCAAGTTCATCTCAAGGACTCAGTTATCTTCCGAACAGAGAAATGGCACAAAACCATGTAAGTGGCTTTAATCCTTGCGGTGCTTATGGTGGAATAATATGGCATTGACAGCATTTTATGTGTGGTTCCAAATATTTTGGGGTTTACTCTTTGCTTTTTATTCTACAAAGTTGCTGAGAAATTGTCCAAGCGCTTATAATTTCTGATGTATCAACATCTAGTGTCAGCATCCACTTACCCACTGGGTCTCTGCAAGAAATGTACTGTGCTATAGCTGTGCCTAAATCGGATAATAATCATTACTGCAGGACCTCAAGAGCTGGTTTTGTGCAAACAATGAAGAAAAAGATCATCTCTTTGCACCTAGGATTTAGAGTTTGACTTTTCCCCTGAAATACCAGTTTTCATTAAACCATTTGAACTAATTCAAGCTATTAAAGACTTTTGGAGGCTGGTGTGTGACAGCACTGCTGAGAGATGCAAGATCTGCCCTGGTTATCTAATAGCAGCTGACATGACACTGCTGCTGTAGGATGTCACAGGAAGGTCGAATCCTTGGGTACTTGAGAGCCTTACAAAAGCCCCGCCAGCTGCTGGAGGATACAGAGGATTGATTTTTCGCACTTCATTTCTTAGTCTGACTTACACTTGTGACATGAACACCAGCAAACTGAGTTAACATTTCTTTACCAACCACTACCTGAGCATCTGAAAGTTATCCGGTATCTCTTTGCTGCATCACTGGAATAGCCACTAACCTTAGGCAACTGAATTTAATTTCAGTGTGTCTATGACAGATTGTTACCACTTGGGCTACTTTAGAAACGGGAAAACTAAAGCAATTGAACCTTAAGCCCAGGTTCTCAAGTGGCAGCTGTACATGTGTTATTCTCAAACGATGCTTGTGAGAGAGAAGTGAATCCTTACCTGTCAGCTGACATCAACAGATTGTAGTCCAGTCTCCCAACTTCATTCCACAGTATTAATGGTGCAAATACCCACAGAACTCATGCAAGAAACTCTCTTCTGCTTCTGGTCTCTTCCAACTTACTGCATTGCTTGTGGGTTAATATGACTGCTATCCTAACTTTTTGGAAAGCAGGTTTCACACTGCATTGAAGGACAGTATGCTAATGAAAGGATTCCCAGTGTGAAGATAGTATCAGTGCATTATGAGATCATCAGTACTAGAAAGTAGTATTTCTAATAGTAATTTCCATTCTTAATGAATTTGGTCAACCCTTATCTAGACCTAAGTTAAAGACCAGATGCTGCTACTAATTTGAGCTAATCTGGATGCTTTTGTAATAGCTGAAGATTTCTTTACCAAACAGAAAAGGTGGAGTAAACCACAATGTACTTTAAACAACTGTGTTAAGGAAAGAGCTGTAAGACCATCTCCTTATAGAGGTGCTAGGTGTAGAAAGGAACCTTTGACTAAACTTAAGCTAGGTAGGTGGAAGTGGAAAGCTCCTGTTGCTCTCTGAGAAACTACAGGAACTAATCAATTAAATTAACTGGGCTGAAGTTTCAAATCCAAGTATGTAAATAGAAGGGAATATAACATTCCCTTAGGTTAGAGATGAAAACTAACTAAATGAAAACTAACTGAAATGTGAATCTCAAGGAAGAAAAAAAGTATTTTGAATAAGCTCAAAATGTCACTGCATAAATCATAGGAAAAGAGATGACAAGAATCTGATACACAAATAAACTACATCCTAAAGACCAGAACCACAGAATCAGTAAGGTTGGAAAAGACCCCTTAGATCATCAAGTCAAACCTTTACCCAGCACTGCTGGGTTAACACTGCTGGATGTGTGCTCACCACTAAACCAAATCCATACACTTTTTGAACACTTTCAGGGATAGTGATTCCACAACTTCCTTGGGTAGCCTATTCCAACGCCTGACCACCTTTTCAGAGAAGAAATTTTTCCTATTATCTAAACCTCCCTGGGCACAACTTGAGGCCATTTGGTCCTGTCACTTGTTATCCAGGAAAAGAGACCGACCCCCATCTCACTACAACCTCCTTACTGGACCTGAAAAAGTAAATAAAACCCCATGAAATTTTTGAGTATTGACACATAACCAAAGCAGAGTAACTAGTTACAGTTTGCCAGCTCTTGCATTTCATTAACAATATCCATGGAGTTTGGCCCGCTTCTGTCAAAGGATACATTACTTCAAGGTACCTTACATGGAGCATCTAACAGAGAATGACTTGTTCCTTGGCGTCAAATTGCTTCTCTGTTCAACCCCTCTTCACATTCATCTCTACAGCCATTTAAAACATGGTGAACAAGGAAAGAAATGACACTTTTATACGTGAAAGCTGAATGCAAGGTTAGAGGCAATCGAGGGCATGGCTCTAATGCTAAACAAACACATATCCACTTTTAAAAAATAAGTATGATGCAAATGGCACAGTTGTATTGACAAGAGTGGAGCTTTGTAGCAATGCAGTAAGGATTTTCAGTTTCAAAACCTACTGAAGCAAGAGTTGAGTGTGAATAAATAGCAACAGCTTAGCAAAAATGAGAAAATCAGGGGGATTAACTTCTTCAAGCCAAGGCTTGTAGCATATCCATACAGGTTTCACCTGTACCAGGCTGCAAGAATAAACAGACAAATTATACATTCTTTGGCCCAGGGAATAGAAACTACAAATAGAGAACAGTGAACAATATAATCACACGGTGAATATGACGTGTTCCAATTACAGACGCAGCATAGAACATTTAAATGAATTGAATAAGAAATTGGAACATGAAGCAGCACCATGCAATCAAACATTTAGGAGCAGCTTAAGGAAGGTTGCTACTGACAATGTACCTGAGGAAGTGATCAGAGGAAGCCGAGAACATTATCCCATCACAGAAAGGGCAATAACGCCCAGTAGCCCAAAGAAGTACTGGTGTGAAAAGACACATAACAGCTATGAAAAACCATCTAAAAACTGTTTTCTAATTGAAAAATTACCTACCTCAGGAAGGTAAATAGTAGGGAAGGAGGACTAGTAAAAAACCAACCAAGCTAAACCCTCCAGTACTGGCAAAATGCAGTGAAAGTGTTGTGTAGACTAATGGGAAACATCTCTAGTTTTCTTTCCTGCCCCTTCGTTCTTTTCCCCTCCTCTGTTAAGACCTGTTTATCTACGTATCAGCTTCTCCACGAGACAATAGTTGTGAATAATTTCAGGATGTAACATCAGAAAGCTTTCAAACATCAGAAACGTTTTTAATGGTCTCCAAGAAGAAAAGGGAGGGATAAGAAGGTACTTCTTCTGAAATGCAACTTGATATTCTTCTGATTAATAAACACTGGCAGAAAACAAGATACAATTATCTTGGTTGGTTTTTTTTTTTGCTATAGTTATTCTGGAAGTATTAGTCTACCTGCCTACCGATAAACACATGAAGGACCACCTTCCTCTAAGGCCTCCAAAGGCCATTAGAGAGAGGTTTTATAGTTTTTTACTTAAAAACATTTCCACCATTAGATATTACAGTTTATTTGAACAGATTCTATTTTTTGTGAGGGAATAAATAGGGGCAGGCAACCATTGTTAGGATTTGGCAACTATATTGATAAAACTCAATATTTAAAAGTTTATGTGATAAACAACAGGACAGAGCAAAACCAATGTTCTCTCAAAAAATTTAATATCAATCTGAAGGAAGACAATTTTCTTCAAAATAAAATGTGACATAATCTTACAGCATGTAAATTTAAAAGAAACTTATCTTCAACTGCTGCATTAATAAATCCATATGAATATAAATAATCTGATTTAATCACATTTGTAATTTCCAGTTACAGTTTAGCAATTACAAACAAATACAAGTTACTAAGCTAGAGTCATTTTTTGTCCTGGTCTGAATGTTGAGCCAACTTGTCCTTTCCTCTTCTTGGGATTCTGAAAATTATCATACCTGGAATGAGAAAAAAATATTAGAAAATTCTTCTGAAATGCACATGCCTCTTCAGATGCACATTAATGCAACACAAAACTACAGATGTTTAAGTATATTTTTATGGAAATGAAGAGTGCATGTCTTCTCAGACCTGGGAACCTGGAGGACTTTTCACCCACAAATTTAACTCAGAGAGCCTTCCGCCCTGCTTCCTTTTTTTCCCCAGCTTTTTCACTTCAGTCACTTTCAGGTCTAAGGAGACACATTCTCCTTTTCAGTATGTTTATAGTTCTACAAAATTATTGCCTTTTTCCAAACATGGAAGCTACAGAGACCATTACAGATAACGAAAGCCCAGCAATTTGAAAATATGAGGGGCTCCTACCAAGTGGGAGCAGGAAGGACCTAGCTCTAAGTCTTAGAGAATCGGTGCCTCTTTGTACTGGTACAGCTCTTAACATAAGGGTTTTCTCAGCTGTCCTACATTAATAAAAAACAATAAAAAACAATTCACTGATGAAATATTTTCCTTTTCTCAGTATGTTATTTAATATTTCTGAAAAAATTGCTGCAAGAAGTTATTCAACGCTGCCGTCATTCCCTATGTTTATTTAAAACTACTGTGTTCCTGATGTATAAGGAACATGAAAAAAACAAATCTTAACTGAATTCACAATTACAAAAGAAGTAATACTTACAGTTCAGTAAAATTCTTCCAGTCTTCTTGACTAATGGATGGTCTCATACCCTGAAGTGCAGTCATCAGATGGGACTGGGTAATAATTAAAGTAGTCTTGGTAAGCCCTGACTGATTATGGGTGCTGTCCTCCTTGAAAACAGAGCCATGAACAAACAATGAAGAATTACCACAGAAACACAGTGCCATCAGTATCACTAACCCTGAACTTCCTCGTTACATGTACAGACAAATGTATTATAAACACAGTCACAACCTCCCCCTTGCCCCCATATTAATAACACAGAAATAACTGCTTAGTTACATGAACGCTAACTTCTGCCTTATTTCTTCAAACTAAGCATCACTTTGCTATTTTTGTTATATTTAATATTATCGCAGAAATTATTTATTGAAATACCAAGAACTGTGGGAAAACAATAGGGAAATGTTAAGATTAAGTAATAAAAAAATAAATAAAAAAAAAAGCCATACTCCGTTCTTGCTTCTGTTGTTGGCTTTGGTAGCACTGACTTCTGTCCTCAGGTGCTCTGTTTGCTGCTCCTGGTTGTTCTCCAGGGAGCCTTCTTGAGAAGCTGCTCTGAGCATTGAAGGTTGTGAAGATGCCACATCTCTCTGAGTCAGGCTGCTAAAGTCGTAAGTGATGGAGTTTGGTCCGGATAAACACAAAGAGCTCTAAATTGACCACAAGGAGAAATACATTAACTTGTTACTGATCCAAAAGAGCTACTCCATCATTAAGGATTAGCCTACAATTCAGTATAAGCTTGCCTCCGTGACAAAAAGAGTACTTTCTCTTTGAAATATATATCACATACATAATTCTTTAACAGGGAGATTTAGGTTAATTTGCTCAGGTGTTTGGGCAATGACAATGAAGTGTTTCATGCTTGGAAAAAAAATGTAAATATTTTCACAATGGCCCATCTCAAAAAGAATAAAGGTCTGCTAAATCCATTGTTTTATTTACTTACAAAAATCAGTGGTTCTGAAATCTAGGCATATTTATAGAGTTATGCTTTAGAATTACTTTGGAATTCAAATATTCATCACCTCCATATTCTTTGTGCACTTGGTAAAATATGCACCTTTCAAATTCAACAATTTTAGCAGATCAAAGTCCTTGTAGCCTTGCTGAAGAATATTCACAGTCAGAAGAAAACTGAAGTCTCTAAAGATACACTAATCAAACACTGTCATCTATAATGTGAGATAGAACATACCAAAGCACCTTAGCAGTCAGTAGTTAGTTCTATAATGTCAAGATAAGTTATATTTGGCTTTAAGAATCAATGCAAGGCAGTTTTGAAAACAAGAACCTAAGAACTTTGATAACTACCTGTAATAACAGCCCTACAACAGATTTTGAAAATGAATGTACCATGGATCACACACAAACTCTGAAATCATCTGTTCACCATAAGGAGCTCAGAGGCAGCATATCCTGTTGTGCTGACCTGTCAGCCAAGCGAGACCAGCTGCCAGCTGATCACTGTGCAGGTGCTGGGCAGTCAACCTGCACATTCCTGCCTGCAAGCTGGCATGGGAATGCTGCTTTCCGTGCAACATGACACTACCACATCAGGAATTCTGCTTTGTAATAACAGTGATAGAACCTAAGGTTTAGCTCTGCTCTTCACGCAATTCCATGGTCAGATTATTCTGTTAACACACGTTTCACTGGAAACTGAATAAAGTTTGTTTATTCTTAAAATTATAACTTAATTCTTGAAAGCTGGACGGTCATTCTTTAATGAATAAGTTGAAGAAAAACAACAACCAAAAAAACCACCAGAAAGTCAAAAACTGTTTTAGTATTGAACTTTGGAAGGGAACAAGCCATTTGACCAGACAGTAAAATCCAGTATGAATGCAGTTTGCTTCATTATAAGGTATTAAGCAGTATTTGGGGATTTTGATTTTAAAGTCCTGCAAAGTAGAAGAAAAGTCCATATCATATTTTGTCAGATCACATGCTTCCATCATATTCCCCACTGTCGACTACAAGGTGTAGACTGAAGACAGTTTAAAGGTCAAAGCAGACATAATTGTATTTATAAAACCCTACCATACTTAGTTCAGTTTTTCTGTTTCACAACTAATAATATTTAGAAAATTCAAAATATTAAGTGACTAATTTACCAGCTCTGAAGGAGTTCCATTTCCCATCTCTGATTCATAAGAGCTTCCAAAATAAATACGATACATGTTGGACCTTGGGTCTTCAGGAAGCAAGTCAGACATGTCTAAAGAAACAAGAGACTGCTCTAGCCCTGCTTCTCCATCTATTGCAGAATCATCTGAGCCACTGCTGTGGTTTAGAAAAACCATGGAAGAGAGACTGAAGTCACTATCAGAACTAGATCCAAAATCCTGTAACAAAGAACAGAACATTAGAAGAGTAAATTCCTAAGTGCAATGTGAAATACAGGAAAAATTTCATATACAATACATAGAAAGTATTTACATTTTATTCTAGTAATCTTTCTCTAGGAGAGTATTTCCAAATATTTTGCTAAGAAAATCCAATGCTTTTAAGCATTTCTGTCTTCATACTGGAAAAATAATTTGAGGAGATAATCTTAAGGTTTTATTAGTTTCAACTATCTCACTCAGCAAGTAACAGCAAGTGTTGGGAAACTTCGTGTGTCTTCTTTTGTAGATCTATATCACTTCTGTCTCAATCTTTCCCTTCAGCCAATTTAATATCCTGTGTAAAGTGCTCTAGGATATTGAAGTGAGTCTAATTTTACAGTGCCTAACTGCTGCACTCATTTTTATTCATATCCAACACATTTTAAGTGCTGACATGGAAATCACAGTTGTTGCTTTAGACTGGTGTCTGCAAACCTTTTGATTGTACACCTCTATCAGATTGTACACCTCTATCAGAGGTGTACAGAAAAAAAATTCTGAGCACACTCCATCAAGTTCATGCATAACTTATACACACATACTATTGAAGTTCTTATCTTTTGTTCCTGCACCTCGATGGACTCTCCTGTGCACACTCCGAGGTGTGTGCACACCACTCTGGAGACCTCTGCTTCAGGCAACAGACTCCTCTTGTGATGGATGAGGTACCAACTACTTACTCACTGGTGCTACAGGTGAAGGGAGGGTTAGGGAAGATCCTTCCCAATACTAAGAGTTGCAACCTCAGAGTCCCATTCCTTGGTAACAGCTGGGGCAAAAAGAACTCAAGAGGTCTCCTTGATTTTGCACCTCTGACCCAACCCTTCCCTTTGGCCTCCAAGTAGTGGAAGCCATGCCTGTCCCTTTCCAGCTAGAACCAGAACACAGGCATTAAAAACGTGAAAAGAGGTGGCTGAACAGAAGCTAAAAGAGGAAAGGACCTGTCAGTCAGATAAGGGGTGCACTTTGAAAGTGCAAGTACTAGCTTGTACTGAATGAATGAAGGTGTTTAAGAGGTATTTAAATTAATTTGTTACATTATTCTTTATTTTTCTGCAAACATATTAAAATTTTAATCCCCTATATAAAAGAAAACTAAATCTTACTCAACATAATTTGCTAAAAAACATGGATAATACGAACTATTTCAAACATATCAACATAAAGAGGAGAGGCTTCTTTTAAATCAGTTTTATTTACCTGTGTTAAACCTAAATTTAAGTTGGTATGGATTGCCTCTAATTGGGCATTGTATAATAAAGCTTTTAGGTCAGCCCCTGTGAACTGTTCTGTTTTTGCTGCCAAATCCTGAAAGTCCACATCATTTGCCAAGGACAGGGAATGACTGAGAGCTTTTAAGATTTCATAGCGTGAATTCTGTAAAAAAACAAAACAAAACAAACATGTCAGTAAAGCAACCTGTTGTTTTTACTTGTCCTGATTTCAAGATGGTGCTTTGGCCCTGTTACAAGCAACTTCCTCTCTGAGGGAGAAAAGTGCTTTTTTAAAGAAGATACTACCCTCATACTAGAAAGATACTACCCCTAACCAAATGCAGCACACAGGGAAACATATTTCTCTAAATATCCAGTTAATATCTGGGATTTTCATACATGAAATACATAAAAATATGAAGGTGAAGTCTGCTACTCATATGTCCTTTTGTAAAGAGAAGGATGACAGAAGTAAAAAATTCGCTTACCTGAATGATCTTATTCTACACCAGAAGTTTAAAACAAACAAACAAACAAACAAACAAAAAAGAGAGAATATCTATGTTCTTAAGGCACAGGATTAACTTCTTCATGTGTGTGTCAGAACAGAATGACGTTGTACTTGTTAAATATGTGAACTAATCTGAAAATGAACAGCATTAGTTTTTTCTCATAAAATGGGAATCAAATGCACATATTGTACAGGACTCAAAAGAATGGCTACTGTTCAAGCAAATCGCATATTTACTGGACTCATAATTCAAAGAAAGATGCAGAATATTACAAACACTGCACTGCATCCAATTTCTTTCTGAAGATTAGTTTCCTGTTTTAATATTTTAAATTTGCCATATCCAGAGGATATGGCTTGATCTTGAAGATTGTGGTAAACAGCCTTTTCTTTCCCCAGTTTTACGTGAACACACTGACACTGAAGTCAGAATTTAAACTGTTGTATAATTGGAGCTGGACAATCAATTCCACTTAGTCCAGGTTTGAAACGCCACTAAACATAAAGAAAAGGAGAACAAAGACCATTAGTTTGACTTTTTTCTTCTCTTTTATGTGAAATTATTTGTTTCCTCACCTGATCAGGAGGTGGACAGTACAGGCACTTATCCAGTCGACCTGGCCTTAGCAAAGCAGGGTCGATCAAATCCGGGCGACTCGTAGCAGCTAGCACATAAACCCCTTAGGAGAGTGCAGAAAAACGCCATTAACATCTGCTAAACCTTAGCATAAAAAGGAGCACATAGATGAATTGTTACCTTGTAAGCCTTCCACACCATCTAACTGAGTCAACAGCTGGTTAACCACTCGGTCAGTAACTCCAGTGTTGTCGTGACCTCGGCGTGGAGCAATAGAATCAAACTCATCGAAGAAAATGATACAAGGCTTAGCTGCCTGAGCTCTAAAAGGGAAAAAAAAAAAAAAAAAGGCAATACTTACTGTCTGTTTAAGTTTCAGTCACAGGTAAAATTGCTTAGAAATATTAATGTTATTAGTTTTGCTTTAGAGAACAGTTATCTTTAATGAGAGAACAGAAAATCTGTTTTCTGTAGAATTTAAGAGGTTCTGAAGAACTGCACTGCAATGGAATCACTGCTCATTTTTATGACATACCTTGCACTTGCTTTATCATTTCAGAAGTGCTCAACTGCCATTTTAATATACATGAAAATTCTAAAATCCAGTCGCTGCCAATGAGATCTTGGCTTATGTACATCTAACAAAAAGACTGCCCACAAAATAAATTACATGAGAAGCAAAGGCTATGTAGGATATGTTTACATTACTGAGCACTGAGAGTCAGTAAGGGCAGAATTGTAAAAGAAAACCTACTGGCACTGAAGAACTCAATACCAAGTCTAATATGATCCTATGTTCTCAGTGTGCATTACTAGTTGGAGCACACTTGACTGTCTTCTGGAATCATCTGAAAGGAATTCAGCATGTGTTTTCCAAGGCAGTTCTGTGATGTGAACCAGCGTGCTGTAAAATGGAGAGAACTGGGAGTTCAGCTTCAGAAGTGCACTCCTGAACGGAGCCAAACACGCAGCTCCTGAATAATGAGGGTCAAGCTGAACCTGCCAAGACACACATCTGGTTCAGAACAACTGATTATTTCAGGTGATTTTGTGATCTGATGCCATGTCTCTCCTCAGACAACAAAATTACTTCTTGGTGCTTCAACCAATAAAATTTATTGATAACATCACAAATCTCGACAAAACGAACCTGTTAAAGATATCTCGAACTGCTTGTTCACTTGCTCCAATGTATTTGCTGAGCAGCTCTGGTCCCTAAAAAATAATCAGAAAAGAACACTCATGACACTTGTCTTAGTTTTAATGTGTAATTAAACATCAGCATAAATTTTGTGTACTAAAGTGAATTTTCTTGTAACCAAGACAGTGGCACCTTTGAACAGAAGAGCCAAGGGGTCTAGAGAAGCCAAAACAATTTTTTAAGCATTCCAACTTATTTTAAAGTAGTCATTTCCATCTTTCTACTAAAACAGAACATGTATTGCAATCATCACAAGGCAAAGGTTTACACCATATCTTAAAAATATGTTTTAAATATATTGCTCCACTTCACTGTCCAGTGGAAACAAAATCCAAGGTCTTTAAAAAATGAGAACCTAGGAACATCTAACTAAATTTTACAATTCTGCATAATGAATAAGTATACCAAAAAAATCTCAGTAATAAAACTGTGAAGTTCCAGAAATCAGACAGTGGGATATCCAGAGATATGCAAAATTTTGAATGTGAGTTTCTTACTTTGGTATTTTGCCCTCACAAGCACATTATATCAGGTATTATGTTAAGCTATTTCATTAGTCAATAAAAGGAATCAATTAATCTTAAACTCTTGCTACCTTGATGCTGATGAAATTCATTCCACTCTCTCTTGCAACTACTCCTGCTAACAGTGTTTTTCCTGTTCCAGGCGCTCCATACAGCAAGACTCCTGATCTCTGTCGTATGGGCAAGTTTGCAAATAATTCTGGATACTGGAAAAGAGTTTCAATGTGATATACTCTGAAATACACAATGTACTGTAACATCACTGACTACTGACGACTTTTGTCTAAACAGAGTGAGTCTCATTTATTTTATCCACGTTATTATCCCAACAGCTCATCTGGGCTGATGTTTGTTTACCTAGGCCTGTAGTAGGTTCTGAGGTTTAATAGATACCTAAAATACAAGCAAGTGGGCTTTTCTACCAAGATGAAACAGGACAGAATAGGGATGGACTAAAGCTTTATAATGTCCATGCTGCTACTTCTAAATTCCTATTTTAACACTGAATGATATGATCAAATATACTGTTTGGTCATTTCTCTGAAGACTGAAATGGATGGCTCATCTCAATGCTCAAGTTTAATAAAAGGCAGAAAGGCCAAAGTAAAATCAAGGGGGATTGGTGGATTGGCATTCATCCAAAAGAAAATACTCCTCTAGCAAAAGCACTGCAGAACAGTTGGAAATGTTATCTTCACAGAGCTTACAACCCCTGCAACAGAGAGTGTAGCTATACTCCCATATTCTAGAGCAACACTTGATCTGTAGTAAAGCTGAAGCCTTTTGTATTTGGAAGAGGGAAGGGGAAGAAGAGTTTTTCAGTAGCTGAAGAAAGTTAAGAATGGAAAGCTACAAAAGTAGCTTAAAATCATGCCTCTCTTCTTTCTATCAAACAGCGTGTCACACCTTAAAAATAATTATTTCCCTACTAACATTATGCACAAAATTGAACTAACTAATTTAAAAGAACTTGGTACCTTTGCAGGTAACATGATGGTATCCATGAGTATTTGCTTCACATCTTTTAAGCCTCCAATCCTGTCCCAGCCAAGGTCTTTAGGTTTATGAAGGTTGACATTTCTCAGAGCTACTGGAGTAAAATCTTTCAGAACTTTCTGAAAATCCACAGTTGACAGGTTCAATTCTGCTTAAAAATGAAAGAAAAAAATCCTGAACAACAACAACAACAAAAGAACACAAAAGACTACCAGTAACAAATCCCTCATGATATGTAGTAATTAGATTAATTTAAAACATAAAGCCTGTTTTTTTAATTCTGTATTAATCCACCACTTCTGGATAACAAAAGTGAGACCATGAAAAAAAGATATTTTGTTTTCAACATACCACCATTATCCAATGCATTCTGGTTAGAAACACAGGTATGAATGGCACGATCAACCAGCATAGTAAAGTCTCTGGCAACAAAACCTTCTGTTTCCTTTGCAATACACTGGAGGTCGAGATCAGAGAAGTTCTTTGGATCAGAATTCAGTTTCTTCTTTACTATGGAATACAGCATTTCACATCTTTGCTTCTGAAAAACAGAATTGTGCAGCAAGTGTATATTGGGTTAACTACATATATGGAGTTCAGGCATTCAAAGAGTAAACACATATAAGTTAACTAAAATTTCCTTAAATATTTGCATGTCACCAAACCTTCAAATAACAAAACCTGAGCAGGCATGAATATAAGTAAATGTTAGTTCTTAAGGTGCTTTTCAATAAATTCATCATTTTATAACTTCAAGTATTTACCTCACCATGGCTACCTTAAATCCAACAATAATAATGAAACAACCCTCCACCCCCATATTCTATTGTTTTAAACCCATTTTTTCTGTTTCACATGAAAGGGAACCTCTTTCATCTTGTCAGTATGAGTAGAAAATACATTTGAGACGAAATACATCACATTAGATAAAAATACTTGGGATAATTTTGTATATTCTGAGATCTTGACTTTTCCAGTGATGTCTCATCCTTATTTTGTATTAATATTAAAAATAATAAAAGTAGACTTGCAGGAGGTGGGAGAAAGCTACACTGCATCTAACATAGAATCCCCTCCTCAGCGGCTTTTCATAGCTGGCCTGTGATGGAAGACACACCAACAGGAACAACTCATATTAATTACATTAGGGGTTCAGAGTATCTGCTTTCTCCTGCTAGGAAGTTAATACTGTTTATTCTTCTCTTTATCCATTTTTGTTCTTAAAAAATTAACATTTAGTTTTAATAACACTTAAATTACACTTTCTAGGGACAAAATTATTTCTCTAAGCTGTGAAAAAACACACCTTGGTTTAATTTAATTTATCTACCTGTGGTGACTTAAATGTTTTTACAAAGTTGCTCCTTTAGCATTCCCTTTTACGTAACATGCCTATCTCATTTTACATTGAACTGAAATATCCTCTAAATACACTGAAGCGTGGGGCCAACTGGGAGTTTTCACTGGATTACTTTTTTTTTTTAAAAACTTTATCCTGACAGATGTCAGTTTTCAGGTATTTAAGCATCATGAAAGAATTTCTAAGATTTCCAGATTTTTTTTTCTCATCTTCGGGTGTAACCTACTATTCTTGCAGCTGTTCCAACATCATTTGAGGCTGATGGAAAGGCAAATTACATTTTAACCGTTTTACTTGAATTTACCTGATCTGGAGATTGGATACATTTGAAGCACTGGAATATGTGTGTTCCTTGTGCTGAAACCAGGGAAGGATGAAGGGAATGTTCAGACTCACTTGTGGCAATTAATGCAATCAAACTCCCCATGGCAATAACTTCTTTGATTAGATCTTTCAAAACTAAACACAGAAGACAATGCTCCATGAATTACAAAATAACAAAAGATTCTGCATTTCAGAACAGACATTTTTACTGTACTGGAGAGCAGCATCAGGGCACACAAAAAGTAACAGCTTCTAACATATTATTTTTATCCCCATGTTTATACTTGTTTTTTTTTAATTAGAAAGAAAAAAAAGATGTACAGTAATTCTCTCTAGGAGAGTACATTCCATTAATAAAATGACATCAGAAGTGCTCTCGAAAATCTGATTTTGTAACATCACTGATGATGTCTACCACAGGATATTAAACATGGATTTTTTGTGTGTGCTATTATTCCCTCCATGCAAACAAAAAGGGAAAAGTTATAAGAATAAAAATAGATGTTGAGTCTAGAAAATAAGCATTCCAGGAAAAAAAGTAATACATGAAAGTAAGAGAAATTAAGGGTGAGGTAGATCTTCAAGGAATAATCTTTAAAACTCTAAAGCTCTGTTGTATGTATTATACCTTCAAATAAAGTAGTAATAAACCCAAACAATTCTGCATGTAACTTAAATGCACATTTTAAAAAAAAAATTACAGTAAGATTTTCTGAACTTCAAAACTAATTCAGTAAAAATTACACTAACTCCCTCCCTCAAAGTGAGCTAAGAAACGGGAGATACTTTTGCTATGGCTTTATTAATCCTGATAATTTACATTTAATTTGAAACTTATCCCTGCCTAGATTTTTGGAAATAAAAAGGAACTGTGTAATACAGGATATCAAACTACAATTGACTGCCTTATTTTTAACATCTGTGGATTGTTACACTGTAAAACAAATGAAGTTCTACAAAGTATACCAAGTACAAGGACAAAGAAGTTGGTACTCATCCACAAGAATTTGGTTCTAAACATCCATAAGTATCAAATTTACGTATCACTGTAATTATAAATAATTATAGGAATCACACAATCAAATTATCAATGGTTGTCACTTGAAGACTCATCTGCAGTTTGTAATCAGTTGCAATGTATTTGAGTGCATGAGCAATAAAAAAAAGAAAGGAGATGCCTTTACCACTGGCAGTGGTACTGACAATAGGCATCATCATCAGCAGCAGTGGTGGAACCACCATTGGCAAGCACCACTCCAAGTTCCAGACTGAACTATTTTGATCCAGCTACTGGTCCACAAGTGGCCGACCTACCAAAATTTGTGCATCTCTGCCTGAATATCACACGGTCCAGAAGCAATAATGATACAGACAGAATTGTTCAGGTCGGAGAGGACAACTGAGTGCAAGAAATTCCAAGTTACACTGTATTTGTATCCAGACACAGGTAGCACAGTATTACCATAAGCAAGTCTATTGCTTTGCACGGTTTCAGGGCTGTTCTCATGCTCTGGTGTAGAAGGTACTCCAACAATGTGATCAAGATCATCCATCAAAAGAATGGATGGTTGTCTCCATGCTGCCTCTAAAAAAGCTTCTTCCACATTTTTCCTTATGTTTACTAATCTTTTTCCTAAAACAAAATACTATTACAATGACAGAACATATCAGGAAAAAAAAATTCAGACTGACTACATCTTGCTCACATAATACTACAATGTTTTGATTTGTCTAGTTTAACTTTAAACCTATAAATCCAGGTACCAAGATTAAACCAGAGTCAACAATCAGTAAAGAAAAGAGTCTATATTTTCTATAAAAAAGTACTAGAAGGATCCACATGTCCTAAAACAAGATTAACCATCTTTCACTAACTGCTATAGAAGCCTACAGGTTTAATATCCAGACAGTTAAAACCAGAGCAATATCAGCAGCACTCTGAAATAGCTATTGAAGAGCCCTGCAATTGGAAGAATTTTCCAGAGCAAAGGACCAAGCTTTTCATCAATCCTTCCCTTTTCCTCTGGAGCAAGAAGTTTAGTAGGGTCTTAAGCAAAAAGAGTACATCCATGTAACATAAGGGCTCTGTAAGAAAACAGTTCTGCTCTGTAACAGCAAGACTATTTAGAAAACCCAGCAAATGAAAGAGCAAAAAAAAATGTCCTTTTTTGTCCTGTTCCATCTCTGCGCAAAATACTTATTTTGAAGTCACAAAACGTAAGGATTCATATCATCATCATCTATAATCATGAGGGCTAGATGACTATTGCCAAGTGTACTAGATTAGTAAACATGCCATCATAATCAGGTTTCAGCTGGTCTTTTGATCCTTCTTTGGTACCTGTGTCACCCTTTTACGGAGTAATACAGGTATCCTTTAACACTTATGGTTTGTTAACACTTGCTTCAGCTAGCACAGCTGAAAAAACACACAGTCCAACTTGCAGCTTCTTCCTATTTTGTAACAATTGGAAATAAGCATGGCAAGCATGGTTTGAATTTGGTGGTAGTATGTGGAACAGAAACTGATAAAAGTGTGACAAGCTTACAGTGGCTGTATTTTCATAAGACTGTTGAAGACAATAATTGTGAGGCATCAAATATCCTTGCAAAAGCAGCAATAATTCTAAATAATTATTAAGAGTAAATATACTAACTTCACAACTGTACCTCTTTATCATACAGCAAACATTTGAGATTTAAAAAATATCATCATACCTTTTAAAGCTTTACAATCAATTACTTCTACATGAGCATCCAGTCTATCGAAAGCTTCTCTGCAGATGGCCTTTGCCAGTGTTGACTTTCCACTTCCCTAAAAAAGTAAATGTGAGCTGGTGTAAATTGACAGAACCAGATCCTTCTGTTTCTGTGGTTTTCTCACAGTATACACCAATAAACAAGCTTGGAAAGCTGTACACATGTGGGGTTTATTCCTCACTAAAAGTATATATGGCATTCTGGTCTTGTACCACTTGGCAGAGACCAAAGCCCAAGAGTGAAACAAGTATAAACAAATTCAGAGTGGATACGTCTACTAAATATAGTGTTCTGATTCCACTGAGTTCAGTCCTAAGACATGTGCTAGTTTCAGTGGAATATAGCATTAAATGGATCACTGTAAGAGGCAACAGGAAAATAACAGTATCAATGTCATTGCCATTTTATGTTAGAACAACAGGAGAAAATATTTTATCTTATTTTCATTCAATATTTTAGAGACAAGAGGTGTTTATTATACTATAAAAACAAAGTAGATTAATGCCCTATGGGAACAAACTGAAATTGCATTGGTAGCAGCCTTTAAAGCTTACATTTTTTATATATATACACATGAAATATGAATATATACTGAAGAAGTGTGCATATAATCTGTATACCTTTCTATAAGATGATGTTTTGCTGAATTACCTCTGTTCAGTTAATTGCTGTTTTTCAGCTTGTTCTTTATCCTTTGGAATTGGTGTGGTATCAAAGAAAACTAACGAAAACCATTTTGTAACTATGGAAAACAATCTGAAAGGGTTTGGAAAGTGGAAGCAGTGAAGTATGTACCTTTCCTCCTGTGAGAAGCACCCCTCCACTTCGCAGTCCCACAGCAACAGCAGCCAGCTTTTGAGACAAAGGACGCCCCAGAAGACTGTGGCTTATGTGTTCAAATAAAGATGTTCCTAATTTGTCCACTCCTCTGTAGGGTAAAGGAAACACTGAATGGTCTAGGGTAGCATCAGTACCTACAGAAGCAGCAATAGCCTGCACTATGGGGAAGTTACAAGGCTGAGAGACTGTGATGTATTTCATCCCTTCAAGAGAAAAATGAAGACAACTCAATCTGAAGAGACAGCACTTCTATTCTGCAGTGGTGACACAGGGGACACAGACAGACATCACAGAACATGCCCACAAAGGAAGGGCTAGCTATTATTGCACACCACACCACACTAGCATAAGGTAGGTCTCAGAAGTTAAGAGTTAACCATCTTTTGAGGCTTCATCTACCTGAGTGTCTGAGTAACAACCTACTGAGGAATGTAACGAACTGGTAAAACATGGAGCACGGCTAGGTCAGAAAACTCAGCCTTTTCAAAAATGAAACAACCCATAGTTCATTTGAAGACACCCTTATCCTTCACTCATTCTCAGTCTTTGTGACTTTCAACAAACAGTGTTCCTGTCAGGTCCACAAACAACAAAGCTACCAGTTTAGCATTTCAACTTTAAACAGGAAGTGTTGTTCCATGAGAAACAGAATGAGCAAATGAATCCTAGTTTCTAACATCCCTGCCCTACCACATCCCATCACTACCAGACTGCCCTCGTATCAGTTCTCCTTCCCTCTTCTGCAATGGTATGCTCAGCTGCTTTTCACAGTGTCTCAGTAATATCTTCAGTTGCCCTTCACAACACTGACAGCATGCTATCACAACACTCCAAGCCTCCCAAGTCTCCTCTGCCCCATCCCTACTTCAAGTTTGCTACACAGTGCCACTTTTTTCCCTTGTACTAAGGACCACAGCACTCTGCATTCCTCTCCTCAGCTGACAATTCTGGTAAAACTTTTAGGAACCAAAATTCTTTCAGACCCATACTATTAAATGTAGTTAAACAAGTAAACAGGTTGAAATTATTGTGGGACAAGGACTGATGGATAGACTACAACTCGTCATCCATTTTGCTTTGTTTGGAAAACCTCAGAAGACAGAGAAGTCTGTTTATACTGCTTAGAACAACAGCAGGAGCTGCTGAACTATCAGTATTTCTTCTAAAACTCTGCAGTTCAGAGTTCCAGTTCTGATGTGGTTTCAGTTCTGAGACTTCCCATTCTACTGAAGCACAACCATTCACGCACAAAATTAACCACCTACATGAACTACGATAAGGTCTGAACCTGATCTACCAAAAGATGCAGTTTTGTTTAAATCTGGCTTAGCTTTCAAAAACTCTGAATTTCCACCAATACTATTTTTTTATAATTCTCATTCCCATTCCCTCCCATAGTTTTTTCTATGAAAATATCTCACCCTAAATTGTTTAGTTTGTGGTATGGAAGGCTCTTGTCTGTATCACGCATAGGTGGTTGGCTGTCACCATCAGCTTTTCTAGTTACAGGATGTAAAAGAACCTAAAAGGAAAGAGTTAGGACTTCAGATTAGATGTAACTATAGAAGAAGGATATAGAAGTGACTAGCCATTTTTGGAATTGTGTAAAGAAAATGTTGCATGTATGCTTTGCTGAAGCTTATTGTGCTTGAAAGATGCATGCAATGGTGAAATGGAACAGATACAATTATTTCCAAAATACAATCCAATGCTGACAGTGATGTAATAACCTGTGATTAGACGTTGGGCCAATTGCTGTTTGTAGCAGACTATGCAGTCCACCATCTCTTTTCCTACCTGTAACTTCCCCTGTGCCCTCGCCTGTTGTGCTGGCAGGAGTACTTGTGAGGCAGAATAGCGAAACAGATCAGGAATCTGATCTGGGTGACAAGGAATTTGACAAAACACCTGGCAGGAATTTTTCAGTCTTGTTCACCAGGGAATTAGTATGGAAGGCTGGGCAGGTAAACAGAGTTAACAAAGGTTCACAGGTAAGAACAGGCTGGGAGGAGATGCTGACACTGCTAGTAAGAAATGCATTTTGCCCTTTCATCTTAGTACCAGTCACTACAACAATTTGTAGAAGCCTTACTGTACTTTACTACTAGTAAAAACAAAGCTCTTATTTTACTTTTTTTTTTAACAGGAATCCTAAATTTTGCAGAAAAATTCTATTCTAAACAGCCAAAAGGACACCATAATTCTCCACTAAAATTTCCTGTATAAGTTTAGAGATGAAAACTGTTATCCTATAACCACAATCCTGGAGTAATGGGCACTGGTTCAACCAGAATTATTAATGGATTATTCTCCCAAGAAAGGAAACATGAAACAAACAAAAGGCACAGAAACTATATCAGAGAGAAGGCAGGGTGAGCGTGGTAGGTTTGAATGGCGAATATGCCTCATCTTGGGCAGAACAAGTTACTGTTCCTGCCAGTTACACTGTGAAGTGGTTTAGTTAGCAGGGGAAAAAACAACTAAGTGTAAAGATGTTCAAACTTAGACAGTACTGACTTTCCTCTGTTCTAACTGATTTTTCTGACAGTTTGATATAGACTATGAAACTCAGTGGCAAGCACTGCATGCCTGGAATCTCAAGCTACAAAATAATAAAGAATGCAAATATAATTTAATGAATAGACTAACATTATTTATTTTAAAAGGGAAACCAAAATGCACAATATACAAAATGCAATATATTTGAAACAAGTATAACAATTTAAATTACTTGATACCTGACTATGTGATATTTACTTGTATATTAGTCTTTTGCAGCAAACTGGGACTCAGTATAAAAATATTCTCAGACTTATTTTCTTCAGTGTGCACAGGATGCACTACACTAAGGACAAACTCCTCCATTCCTGTAAAAACCCAAGGAACAATTATTAAAATTCCAAATAAATTCAGTTTTCATTCCTCATAAAGTAAACCAGATTAGAGTATTATTATGATATAATCCAAAATGAAAGAATAATACCAATAATCATTATTAAAGCATACTTCAAGCTTACACCTTCCATGTAAAGAGGTATCAGTTATGTTAAATGGTGTATACAGAAATTAAATGGTATACTGGCTAACTAAATTCTGTAGAGGACAGTTAAGACAGCTACAGCACAGGGCAGTATTCTCCTTACCTTCTTTAAAAGACAGATGTATACAGTCTCTGCTTGTCATCATCCATGGGTGATCATCAGTACTTGAATCCTGCAGCCAAGAACTGAAAGCACATTTAACATCATCTTCACATATATCTTTATGCTAAATCGGAAAGAGGAGAGATGTAAATAAAACAAAACCAGGTGTAAGTAAAAATGTCTTCCTCCTATGCATGAGGCATTTGTTTCTTTTATGGCAGCAGAGAGATGGAAGAAGACATAGGAGTTTTATTAATTTAGAAAAGAGCATTTTGCCAACAAGCACCATTTCTACCACCTGCTCTATGGAAAGCACTTGCCTAGCCCTTGCTAGGGCCACAGTTGAATCTCTAAAGATTCGACTTTAGAGTTGAACTAGAGGGCAAGGAAAAGCTTTTATTTTGCTTTATTTATCTGTCTTGCCAGACCCAAGGGCACTGCTCAGCTCCTGGGTTTGAAGGTATGCACCAATATTGACCTGAGACTTATTTTAGGTGCTTGATACAACCCTCCATTCCCTGTATATTTCCTATATAAAGAACCCTGTGCTCATCCAATTCAGGGGCACCACCAACAAACTTCAACAGGCAGGCAAAGAGACCAAGTGACTTATCCCAGATCACCTAGATAAATGGAATAGGAGAAGAAATTGAGTCTGGATTGCATATCTCTTAGCTAAGCTCCTAATCAGAGATGCAAAACTCCTACCTAGAAAAGGTGGAATCAATGAAGATCTTGGAAGCAGTGTTCAGAAAAGAAAACTAAAGTTACTGTCATAACTGTTTCTGCATTTGTCTGGTTTTTTTCAAGAACTAAAAAAACTTCAACTGAATTAAAAAGGAAAGGCAGAAAACTGTATTCAAAACATACAAAAGCACACACATAACTACTTTTTCTTTACAATTTTAGCAGATTACTGCCAGAATATCACAGAATCTTCTGAGTTGAGAGGAACTCACAAGGATCATCAAGTCCAACTAACATTTCTTTTATCTCCAACAAGAAAAAAAAAAAGCAGTTCAACCATTCCTCTGTAGGTAAGAAACCAAATTAAAATATTGGGGATAAAGAACAAACCTGCATAAGCCTTGTTATGATGGCAAGTGCTGTACTCAAAGCTTTGAGGGGCAGCTAACATGGGAAACAATCAGGCCAGTGTTACATAGTAACAAGAACACAGTACTTTATAGAGAAATATATCATTCCAGAGCTACATCTATGGACCGTGAGAACTGGTACTAACTGGTGCTGGTTCTTACTGTCACAGATGCTCACTCAGATTGGGTCCCACTTACAGGAAAACAGAGGGATTCTATGATATAACTCTAGAAAATTAAATCTTTAGCATGAGGAAAAGGAAAATGACAAGAAAGTAAAAAACTAAACAGCATAAAAATTATGATAATTTCACTGCAACTGTTTTTCTTAGAAAATCCACTGGGCATTGCAATGTTTGCAGAATATAAGGATGTCTTCTGCCAGAAGACTTAAAGTGGGTATTTACTCTTTAACTGTATGATTCTTTTTTTGTGTTTGTTTTATAGGCTTAAATGTATATACTTCAAATTTGCTAGGTTTGAACCTGTACTCATGTACTTCAAATGAGGGTCTGATGAGGGTCTGTCAAAATTATTATTGGTTATTATTGCTATTTTGACAGTGAGTGTTTGAGACCTAATTTAACAGAAAATTTATCTTTTCCCTACCAATGCCATTTCTCCTTCATGTCAAAATCCTTTTTAATATGAAAGACATCAGAAATCCTCAAAATTTGAGAAAAATGGAAGACCATATGATTTAAAACGTGCTACAGAGCATTCCTCTAACAGCTTTGGAAAACAAGAAGTCAAAATTTAGAAGTTCTGTGTCCTCCACCCTCTGTGACCTCAACTAGTTTCTTTAAACAAAATTTTTACAATTAGCATGCTAAACTAAACTATTTGAAATATCTACCAAGTCCAAACCAAAATTATACAAAATACTAGATAAGCTCTGTTTAAGTAGATCATAGCAACCTATTAACTTTAACATACACAGTCAAAAGAAAAAGCTGGGAATTATACAAAAGAAGAAACTCCTCTGGAACTGGAATTATGTCATACACGATAGGCAACTTCCAAACCATCATCTAACAAATTAAAACAAATAAACATTCCCCCCCCACACTTGACCAGAGCAGCATTACCAGTTTTCCAATACATGAACAAATAAGTCACCAAGAATATCAACTCACTAAGTTCTGTCTGGGTTGCAGCGTAAGAGATACAGGAATTTTAGGAATAGATTCAACTGACTGAATTCGGACTGCTGAGTGTATTTCAATACTTAGCTTTTTTCTCAGACCATCTGGAATCTGAAATATTTTAAATAAAAGCAAGTATTAGAAGGAAAAATAGTTATAAACACTGCATATATCATACAAGGAATTTCTTCATCACTAATAAAACCTCTACATTTGATCACTGATCTATTTGTAATCTGCAAGAGAATTAAGAAGGAAACCATAAAACTGATGGTGATATCAGGCTCTTATGCTTTCATGCACACTTCTAATTACCTTTTATCCTATTTGTTAAAGTGCTCACTACAGCTGATCTTCTACTAACTTCTTTAAATAAAACCCAAAAGCTTGAAAAAAAGATTTAGGAGAAATTCTTAGAATGTTGACAGAATGTTTTTAGTATAAGAGAAAAACAGCAATGCTATTTTCATTTGCTGATTAAAATTAATTTTATATGGGCAGGTAAATATACATAGGCCATTACAGAGACCAGAACTAAGCACAGCTACAGCACAGAAAGAGAAAATCCAGTCCCCCTAAATCCTACTAGTCAGTTTGCCCTTTAAAAAATAAAACTCCTTTTCAATAATTCTGTCTTATATCCAAATTGAAAACATTTCATAAATATTTATTAAGTCTGAGAGACTTTATGATTGGTGGCATTTGGAAAATTGTTACATCTCTTAAAAGATTTCACGGCAAAGACCATTGCAGGTTCTTGTTTGCATTCTTAACAGAGCAATAAGTGAGTGGTGAGAAGTGCATTATGCCAAAACAGTCAAATGGTGATTTGGAGCACATCTTATTTGTTTTTGTTGATCCCACATGTGCTTCCAGGAAAGAAAGAACATAATCAGGCAGTAATTCTGTCAGAACCACCTATCTGTACCAGTATCTCCACACCAGGACTTGTGCCACCTTGCCAAATGGCATATAAAAATTAAAACAGTTTAAATTACATAAAAAGTAGTTATTTTATATTAATTTTAAGATGTATTTTAAAGAGTATATAAAAGGACTCACAAACATCATGTAGCACTAGGATATGTGATTCCATTACTTTACAGTTTAATGACCCCTACAGCGCAAGGCACATTTCAAAGTGTTTAGTGATGGTAAGAGCCTCATTATGCAGTACTGAACATATGTAAGTAGATACTTTCTCATGAATAGCTACCTACAGATTTTGAAAGAAGTGTGCATTCCCTCCAGGCAGGCTGAAGCACTTTGCTCATTTGGTGAAAAAATGCTCAGGATGCAGAAACCCAGAGCACACTGTACATCTTGGAGTATAACGGTAAGTAATGTAATCCAGAATGACTGCAAAGCACAGCTCTAGTAAACAGTACTTGATTCTAGTATACTCCACTTTACAGCTTAACACAAAGTCTATAACCCAAAACTGCACATTAAGTAGCCAGTTCCACAATTATCCAAGAGAAAATACTATCAAATAAAAGGCCCAAAAGATATCGTGCTCAAACTGACCCAAACTCTTCCAACATGTAGGGCTTCCCCATTGTGGCCATACTCTATGACACTCTTTAGGTCTTCAAATCCATTCCAAACGATTTGAACAACAGATCCCTCACTGGATGCTTGGTTGCTATTAGAATCAGAATGACTTTTGTCTTGCGTACTACTCAAAGGCTTTTGCTTTTCAAGTGGCAGATTTTGCTTTGCTTCTTGATGACGCTGTCTTGGGGAAAGCAGCTCATTAATTTTCCCGTAAGATACTACAGGATTTGGATCCAAATCAATAAATTCCAAATTCCAAGGAAAAACATGAACAGCACTGCATTTCAGAAATGCGTGAGTGGCAGATGCATTCTGTACGCTGGGAGGCTGGGACTGACATACTCTAAAAATGGAATCCATGTGAATTAAGTTCAGCAGCTTGTCTTTGAAGGTGCTCATTTCATCTTTATCACACAAAATCTTCTGTTTCTGCAAAGACGCATGAGAGAAAATGTTCCCTATAAAATTCCATATATTTGGGAGAACATTTGAGCCAAATGTCATGTTTGCATCAGCCTTAGTCTGTTCAAGGATTCCAGGCTTTAAGTAAGGTTGTTTGGCAAAAGGATCCTTTATTGTTTCTTCTTGCTCCATGTTATTTTTCACAAAATTTCTGAGTAAGATGTCACTTTCTGTGGAAGGTGTGCTGGTGACATTCTCCTCTGGACCATGTGTTTTGGGACATACCAGAAGCTCCGTGCACGGTTCTAACCTCCCATATGGGGCTGCTGGCATAAGTGTACCTAAGTAGGAACAAAACATGCCAATGAATGTATCCACTCCAGCAAAACACCTTCCTGGAGGTGCCATGAGAGCCTTCAGCTCTGCTTACCGATTCTGATGTAAACATGAGTGTGCTGTTCAATCCATATAGGAAAGATGGCTCTTGGAAACACTACTCGAATCTGGTCCAGAAGATGTTTTTCAAGAGAGGAAGCGTGCAGCTCCTGGGGAAATGTGGTATCATCATAAATTAAATACTGCATACATTTTTAACATTTGTTTGAAGATAAAAACTGTACACCTCTTTTTAATAAACCATTTGAAATATAAAATACAACTAAACCCCACATTTAGTATTTCCTTAGGGGCTGAAAAGAATGGGGCATTGTGCAAAAACCTGCTTGCGTCAGAATCTCTGTCATCTGTAACACAAAGACATGAAAACTGGAAAGGGTTTTATTACCAGAATTTCCCAATCATCCGCTGTGAGTGGTTCCACTTCTACTTGCTGACAGGAGGAGACATGGGAACAGGGTTCAAGAAATACCTGACAAAAGTAACACCAAAATATTTAACTTATTATTTTTAAGCACATAAAAGCTCCATCTTTTATTTCAAGTAGAAAATTGATATCTCCTTCATTATGTGTTTTCAGTACTTGGAACATACATCATCTTAATGACACCAACTAATTCATAAGCAGATTAATGATCAATGGATTGGAAATGGATTGCACTGGGCACACTTGGGGACTTCAACAAACCATGAATGTGAAAAGCATCAAGAGTTTGATCAGCTGATAAAAAATAATCAATTTTTAATACACCTTGATCACATAATCATCTTTCCATTTTTTATTCTTTATTTTTAAATGTACAGGACTTTAGAAAACTGAAAAATTCATTGAGTTGTGCACAAATTTAGACAAGGTAACACCAGCTGAAAAATGAGGAAAAAGTACAATATAAAACAAGTCCATCTCCTTTATGAATGCTTTCACAGGATGCAGCCCCACCTCCACAGAACAGTTTTAATGTCCTGTGTTTCAGGAACAACGACAAAAGCTATTGTGGCTTAGGTTTTTCAGAATGCATTAAACATGTATTTCAAAAGTAATTTTTTTACAAAAGGTTTCATTTGACAAAATATAATAACTTTCAAACATCATGTCTCTAATTCTTAAACAAACTTCATTATTTTTTTTTTGAGGTAAAACTAGTTACCTGTACTGTGAGAGACAGTTATATCAGGTCACCTTTTATAAAAGTAGCAATCAATTCTAAATTCCTCTAGGCCCTCAGTTTGAAGTAAAAATTGAGAGGAATCTTTTCCCCAACATGGCAAATAGAAGATTTTATTGTTATGAAACACAGTAAACATGCAATTCCTGAATCCAAAATAATGGTAGAACTACCTAATTATTCACATATTCATTTGATTGTACAGATGATTATTTCCAGGCAACAGCAAAATATTCCCATTACCAAATGATTCAATTGCCTATGTATTTTCCCAAAATTAATGGCACTGAGAACAGCTGCTTCATCCCTGCCAAGACCTACCTACAAGCATATCCTAACATTATTTAGGCAATAGTTAATGATTTAATGAGAAAATTTTTTCATGTTTGAGACATTTGAAGACAGTTAACATTTCTCATGAGCAGATTTAAGTGCAGTAACTGTCTAAATACATCAAACAAGAAGGTCGTAGCTAACTCATAAAGTACTACTTTTCAGGTATATTCTTTATTTAAATAAGAACAAAAAAAATTGCATTTCAAACCTGTTCTCCATCTGTGATGCCAAGTTTCTCTGCTAAATGTCTGTTAATCTCTGCAACATTTTCACCTTGGTGACCTCGATGCCTGATTTCCATCCAGCTCAAAAATACTGGCTGATGACCACAGGATACTTTCACAGCTTGGCCCTATGAGTTCCAAAAAAATAAAATAAATTAACATAAAACTAGCTAAATAGGTCTATTAGGTAACCTAAACTGTATTTAGTTCAAGAGATCAAAGGAATTAAAAACATTTTCTGGACTTTACATTTTATTTGCACAACTCTTAACATAGAAGGCATGTTGGTTTAAACTCGTCAAAGAGCATTTTATTTTTATGGACTATTTTAAAGTAAGAAAAGTCTTCCTTCTGCATATTAAAAATATCTTACAGAAAAATATAACTACACAATTGCATTTCCAAAATGAGGGGAAAAAAAAAAGCCTAAATTTCATAGGAATTATAACATTTGCATGGTCTCCAAGACTGCTTTCATGACACATTTAAAATAAGTCACAAATCATACTAAGTCAGACCAAAATGATCTTATCAATCTGTTTCAGAACCGTTCAGGTATTTTGCTTCCAAACTGAATAATCTCTATATGTTCAGTCAGTTTCCATATAGAGAGGCTGCATCTTACATTGTATGATTCCACTGGGATTGTCGGTAATTTTTTCAAAAATTATTATTTTTATTATTATTATTATATTACTATTATTTTTATTTATTATTATTATTTTGGTGAAAATTTAGTGACCAAGAGACAATGTACACTGTGAACATATCACAGATTTACTTGTTAACATAGTGATGTATTCTGTTCTGTTCTCAACCGTATTCTGATAATTTCCAATATTATTTGACTTTTTTTGTAAACTCTGAAAAACATTTTCAGAGAAGATATACAATGGTTCCAAGATCTTTTTACCTAAACTTCATATTTAATTCCCTGTAATTCACACGGATAAAACTTATCCCTAATCTTTACACAGCATTGAGATTTTTTATGCCATTTTGTTACTCACTTATCTGATACCTTCTGCAACGAAATTCAGCTTTTGATTCCAGTTGAGTCTATTGTTTACTCTGTGTGATCTATTAACATGTCTATCCCCTTTTCAACAGTTTTATTAACAAGATGTTTTTAATATGCAATCTCTATCAAGTTTACAGAGATCATACCTTTTCATTTTATGGCTCAGGTTAAGTAAAAGCAGGAGCCCACCAAAACCACCAATGTACAGAATTACCCTACAAGACCTCAAAGCAATTGCACTCCCTTCTCCTCTATCTCGCCAGCAAATCCATAAAACATTCAGAAACTGCAGCTGAAATTAGGCTCACATTTATACCGCATTTCTCGCAACTCTACCAACCTCCTTCTACCACCCCAAAGACGAAAGAGCAGGTTTTTACACGTCTGGACTGTTCTGCTGTTGTGAAATGCCCTTTTCGGCCTTGGGAAATCCGGAGGTTATCCCGCCGGGGGAGGGAGCCTGGGGCTGTGCCAGGGCTCCTGAGCTCCGCTCCCGTTTCCTCCTCCTCACCCCGTTCATTCCTGCCATTTTCCACCCTGTTCTGCTGGCAGACGCGTAGTTCTGTGCTCATGGCCCAAGGGACAAAAGCAGGCTCAGCTCCCGTTTTCACGTGTGAAATGCTATTTCCGAGCTGAGGTGCGCTCCCCGCAGCGGACCCGCGTCCTCAGCTCTGCGTGACGGGAGCCCCTTCTATAGCGAAACAATTTATGTACACTAACAACGAGGATTCTCCGTAGACTGACTACCCCACCTCCCCCTCGATGATAAATTCAACCCTTATTAATGCACGGTTAATGCTGGCGAGTTACCGTGAGAGCTAGTATGAAAGAGAGCACTGAGAGAGACGCGGATGCTTACGGTCCCCTCCACGTTGGGGGACATAAATTCCAATCTTTCCCGCGTTTTATCAGGAATGGATGACAACCCTGGGCTGCACAAGGGGCGAGGGAAAGGGGGTTCCCCGGTGCCTCCTCGCGAGGGGTCCCGGCCGCGGGGAGGGCAGGAGGGCGCAGCGTCGCCATGGCAGCGGGATGCGGGGAGGGCGGGGGGATGCTGCGCTCCCGCAATCCTCGCCGCCCGCCGGGCGCGTCCCTCCGCCCGGGCCCCGAGCGGCGCCGCCGCGGTACCTGCTGCAGGCGGAGCAGCGCGGCCAGCGCGGGCGGCAGGTGCAGGAAGCAGTCGCGGGTCCCGCTCAGCACGACGGTGGCGGCGGCGGCTCCGCCGGGGTCGCCACAGCCCCACATGGCCGCGGCCCCGGCCCTGCTGCCCGCTGCGCCCGGCACGGACCCGCCCACGGGGGCGGCATCCCCCGCCGCTCCGGGGCAGTGGTACAGCCCACCGCCGGCCAACGAGAGCGCGGCACACTCCGCTGCCCGCCTCTGATTGGCTCCTCCCCTCCGCCCTGAGGACGCCGGCGGTGTCCGGTGCCGGCGGCAGCCAATGAAGGTCGTGCGCGCGCGGGGCGCGGGGGCCGATGGGAAGATGGCGGCGGCCGGCGGGGGCCCGGGCGCTCCGTGCCGGCACCACGCGCAGCTGGGCGCGTGCGAGTCGCGCGCCAAGTACCGCGAGGGGCGGCGGCCGCGCGCCGTGAAGGTGCGGGGGGGGAGGGGAGGGGCGGAGGAGGCACGGCCGGGACGGGAAGGGAGGAGAGGAGAGGGGAAGGGAAGGGAGAGGGGAAGGGGAAGGGAAGGGAGGCTGTGGGCCTCGCCTGCTGCACCGCAGGAGCTCCTCGTTACCGCGGCAGAACTGCCGGGTTTGCGGCTGACGCGTGCGGTCAGTGCACAGCGAGATGTGGCGGCACCTCCCGGGGCTGGCGTGAGGAAGGACCATAGACAGCATCGCTAAGGTTGGAAAAGACCTGTCAGATCGTCAGGTCTGCTGCCCACCTGGCTAACAACCTCCTGTCAGGGAGCTGTAGAGAGCAATAAAGTCAACCCTGAGCCTCCTTTTCTGCAGGCTAAACACCCGCAGTGTCAATATCCTTCTTGGAGTGAGGGGCCCTGAATGAGAAATCAGGGTTTGAGATGCGGCCTCATCAGTGCCAAAACAATGGTTACTCCCCGCGCACACATATAAGGCACGTCTTTTTCTCAAACACGGCCCTCCTGGAAGCTTTCAAAGCCTCCATATTTCAGGAAATCTCAGAGCCGTTCCTTTACTCTTCCAAGAATATGCCATGGGCCGGGGACAGAAAGCCTTGTGTATCCACACAAGGACAAAGGCCACCATAGGCATCCAGCCATCTCTGGGCACCGGAGGATACACGCTGGAGAAATAGTATGGATGTCCCAGGTGTGAAAAAAACCTTACTCAAATCTCCTCTTCCTAGACATGAGATCAATCATATTTCCATCCATTTGTTCCCAGAATGCAGGTACGGAGTATGCTGCTGTCACAAGAACAACTTAGGCAGCTTGTCTGTGGAGACTGTTTTTTATGGTGGCAATTTGAGAGCTGATTTCCCAAGTGATTCCTGTTTGCCATCTAAATATTTGGTTGTTTTTTTTTTTTTTTAAACAAACTCGGAATGAATTTCTTTTGATCTCAGGGATTAGCTGCCTCTTGTATGTAGCTTTCCTTAGAGTGTGTGCTGCTGGACAGTTCACAAAGCAGAAGAGAGTGGTTGGTTTAGTTTTTAATCTGCTGGGGGAAGACATTGTTTCCCTCAGCATCCAGATTTTATCTGTGTGTCTTAAATGGTACGCTGTTGGATCTACTAGTCAGTCTTGCATGGAAGCTGGCCAGAGACTAGAGGTTTTGGTCAGCAAATGGCAGTACTCCGACCTCATGCAGAAAAGTCATCTCTCATTTGTGTTTTGCTTTGAGTGAGAAGCTTGGGTTCGGTTCCCGCTCGGTGATGAGGAGGTCCCAGATAACCACGCACTTACTGCCCTGCCAGAGTCCAGAGTCAACATAGGGTACACAGGGATTTTCCTGAGAGGACTTGGGGAACAACAGAAAATACGGAAAAAACGCCTGTCTTTTGCAACACAGCAAGAATGTGAATGTTTTTGAATGCTCTTTGATTCTGGTTTTTTTTTCAGGTTTACACTATCAACTTGGAATCTCGCTATTTACTGATACAAGGAGTTCCTGCATTAGGTGTTATGAAGGAATTAGTCGAACAATTTGCATTATATGGTGCCATTGAAGAGTATCATGCTCTAGACGAATATCCAGCAGAGCAATTTACTGAAGTGTATCTTTTAAAATTCCAAAAACTGCACTGTGCAAGGTATTGGATGGGGCAATATCTGCCTCTTGCTGTCTTACTCTTTTATGCCTTCTGTAGTTACAATGTGTTAAAATTCTACAGAGTTGAAGTAAAATCCTCAGTTTTGCCAATGCAATTTAATTCCTTTCAGGGTGGCCAAGAAAAAAATGGATGAACGAAGCTTCTTTGGTAGTTTGCTGCACGTGTGCTACGCTCCAGAATTTGAAACAGTCCAAGAAACTAGAGAGAAATTGCAGGATAGAAGAAAGTATATAGCAAAAGCAACAAATCAAAGAGGTTTGTGATTACATTTCTTATAGAATCTTAACATCTTTCTTCAGGGGTGGGTGGGGTTTTGGTTAAAGAGCCTGTTAAAGAAAACACTTTTTATCTAGCTCTTAAAGATGTATTTTAAGCATGTTTACAGTATAATGGAGACATCTCTCAGTATTTAGAGAACTGTTTCAGTTAAGACTAAAATACAGAAATGCTTAAGCTTTAACATCAAAAAAACTGGGTTTTTTTTCAATTTTGTGAGACAGCCTGTTCTTGAAATCATAACTGGAGGTAAAAAACACCAATTTGCTATGTTAGGAATATTTTCCTTCTCAAAACTTTGGAAATACTTCTGCTCAGGCATTCCTCATAAACTAGCAGAGGAACTAGGCTGGAAAACTAGTTTGAAAGGTAACACTTAAAAATCACAGAAAGGTGCCTGGAAATGGAATATCACTGTATTACTTCTGCAGTTGTATTAAATGTTTCTTATATTTTAGCACTAGTAATAAAATGAAATAGTGAAGCTTGTTTGTTTGTTTGTTTTAAAGATTGCTGTGTGTTAAAGAAAGTTGAGGGCCCTAAGAAGACAGTCTCAAAGACCTCTGAGAGTGACTGCCCATGGAGTACATCGGGATCACATGCAGCCAGTAACTGGGATCCATCCTGCTTTACAAGTTCTCACGGGGTATCCCACAACACAGGGCATCCATCTGGAAATCATAATCAGAGCCTGTTAACATCTCCACACTATGATAACAATTGTGCTGAAACTTACGGGTACTTTGGCCAAAACACATCCCTGACTCCCAGCGTACATCCAGGAGGACGTACTCCACCAGCTTCCTTAATGCAGCAAAGAGTGGTTTCCACTTATAGTGGAATTGACAGGTTTATGCCTCGTACAACTCACTTGCAAGAACGTAAGAGGAAAAGAGAAGAAGGTAACAGGTTCCTCCTTGGAACAGGTGCGGACAATACTGAAGTCATGATTGGTCCACAACTGCCAGAGATACCTAAAGTGGATATGGATGATGAGTCATTGAATACCTCAGCTACATTAATTCGAAATAAACTGAAAGAGGTATGGGTTCTTAAAGTTCTGATAGTTTCAAACATATGTGCTTGTTACCCATAAAAACAGCAACCCTCAGGTAACTTAATTCCACATTTACTCAGTATTACCAGTTTATTTGCCAGTTAAAGCTAGCATTCTTGCTATTTAACACTTCCATAATCTAGAGTACTGCAGGCAATTCTACTCCATACCTCTTACACTACCCTTAAGAAAGTATAAATGTCTGTGCACAGTCCTAAATGATTTTCAGTTAAGCACTTTTTTTCCAACGTGTGTGGGCATGATAACTGTGCAGGTAGTTCTGCTGAATCCAGCGTGGTACTTGTATCTGGTTTCTGATTGAAAGGGAGTGAAAAATAACGGGAGACACAGTTCAATGTAATTTTGCCTCAGCACTTCTTATGCCATTAATCTATGCTGAGAAGCATGAATTAATCTATATAACCATTTATGGAGGGTATTAATCAACTGGCAGGTCAAACATTCCTGATAAAACTTCCCATTTACATTAAGATATGAAAAAGCTCCCTTGAGTATAACTGGCTAGACTGATTTGAAAGGGCTTATATCTCCAGTCACATTTATAAATAAGCACCACTAGTATTAAATACATTTCTAAAATATGTATCAAAATGCACATTTTTGCTTTCCCTTCCTTTCCTGAAATGCCTGAGTTTAAAAGCACACTCAACCTTACTTTGAAAACATCTCTGGTAGGAAGAAGGGAGATGAGATACTTAATGCTCTGAGTATCTGAAATCAGTTTCTGTGGTTAAATACAAAAATGGTACTGCTGGCTCTTCTAAATTTAACCTCTATTGTGTTTAATGCTGCCTTTGGTGTTATTTTTTTTCTCAGCAGGAAAATTCAATTCAATTCAAGCGTGATTATAATAATACATCCCTCCCAATACTCAAATGTTGGAGATGTGGCCTTACTCTAAAATGAGGATAAAAAGGTAGTGGTTACAGGTTACTAATTTTTTTTTCCTCTTTAGGTAGCAGATTCTGTTTCAACAACATCTGTGGAAAAGCCAGAGAGTAGATCAGCCAAACCACTTGTAAAGCAGAGAAGAAGAATATAGACACTGCTGGCAGCATCTTCCAACAGTCCTTTTATAAAGGATATAATTTAAAATATTTATTTTTTATGTAAAAAGTAAAATTTTTTTAGACTGTATTTCCAAGGGATTCTGTTAAAAATTGTATCAATTTGTTTCTTGGAATGAACAAACCACTGTAATATATTATTGTTGCAATGTTGTCTTGTGTACCTTATAGTTTAAAGTATTTTCTGACATTGAAGAAATTTATTTAGGTAGAGTCACGGAAGTAAATTCTATTTATGCTGTAAATTTTACAGTAAAGGAATACTGGAACAATAGTTTCAAGTTGCTCCCATTTTTACTATATCATGTAGAACGGTGAAGAAAAACACCCTTTACAACAGTATTCAACAATGCAGTTACAGTTTACGAAGTGTCTGGGAAAACTTTCTGTTCAAATGCAATCCTGCTCTGTTTAAAAAAAAAAGAAAGAGAGAGAGAGAAAAGTTAATTTTCAGTTAAAAAGATTTATATTTATTGAGAAAATGTACTGGACTGAAATGTGTATGCAAGGAATAGGATACCTCTTGCTTTTTAGCCTAGAAAAGGTAAATCCATAGCCCTAATGGTGTCATCGCTGGGAGACCAGTCAGAACATTTGAAGTTATAGTGGAAGGGGAAATTCGGATTGTAGCTGCTTAGCAGTAGGAATGTGTGACCAAGGAATGACCTAGCATGGAGGGCAAGAAGACCCAGCTGCAGAATGAGGTAAATGGGCTGGAAGCAGGAATGCTGGAGGCTGGGGTGTCAATGTAAAGGAGTGAAATTTCCCTTAGTGATGAGAGTAATATCAGAGAGTAATATCTGCAGCATTGTGTTGCAACAACCCTGGAGTGGGAGTGCTCAGGGGTCACCTTTGGGCAGCAGAACTGGCACTGGGGAGATGAATCCAACACCAGGCTAAGATGCCCCATGCTGACATTCACAGGATTGGTGCAAGTGTAGGTAAGGAATTGGCTTGTGTCACATCTTTGCAGGCTCCTTGCGGAACCTGTCAAATTGTATTTGACTCTGTCAAATACATTGTTCATTACATTTTAAAAAAATATATTTAAGTACAAATGAGTATTTAATTTGGGGTAGAATTAAAATTACAATAGCCCCAGTGGGAAATCTAGTAAATTATGGGTTTTCTTCGTGTAAAGCTCATAGCTGAAATTTATTTATTACTTTTAGGGCTTGAAAGGACATGTAAATATTGTTCTCTTTTAAAAGTGAAACTAAAGACCTAGAGGAAAGGCAGCAGTTGGGTAGGATAAAGAACAGAAGGTACAAATACTCTAACCAAGAAACAAACCAAGTTTTCCACCTCTTGCCAAGATTAGCCTGAATTGTGAACCTTCTTTATCACCAACACTGACAGAAGTAATTTTTCCATGCTGATTAATGAAAGTGATTTTGTTCAGAAACTTTTTAAAACCTTTTCACTGGTGTTAAAAACCAGAGTACTTACTTTGGTTTTCCCAAACCCTTTAAAGTCTTTTGACAACCTGCCAGGAGAAATCTGGCATTTTGGGAACAGCTGCTTTGCAGCTGACATGATGTAATGTAGCTTGCCATTGTGGCAATAAGACTCTTCCTTCCTGTCCTCCAGCCTACAGGTGGGTGAGCTGACAGGAAGTGTAGGTTTCCAGCAAAGGAAAACTTGCCATGTTCTCAGCAGTCTTATACAATTCTTCTGTTTCTAGGAATCACTGTGCATATTTCAGATTTTATTTTGCCACCTCTATGAAGCTACAACTTTCAGTATTTAAGTCACACACAGTTCAAATAGAATGACAATTACTGGATCAGAATTTAACACTAAGGAAATGAGCATGGTGTAAATTACCATCTCCCCCCCCCAAAAAAAAAATTGAATTAGACATATTGCTGATAAACAAAGCCTGGTTAGATGAAATTACAAGGCAGCAGTGCTACACTCTGAGAGGAAGACCTGTCAAGGCAGATGGTTTTCTTTTTTTCCAGAAAGTTACCAGACTCTCCCAAACGAAGCTGTGAGATGACAGTTAATGCCATAACACATCTCCTTACCAACGGAACAGAAAGTATTGCACCTTCTTTTTTTAAACTCAAAGTTGAGGTACCTTTATGTCTGGCAAACATGGTCCAAAGGCTTCTAAGAGAAGGTTTTCATCTCTGACTGCTTGTTCAAAGTCCGCAAAAGAAAGCTTGCCATCGTGATCATAGTCCTACAAATGGAAGGGAACACTTAAGCCAAGGGTAGTAATTGTATTTTGGTTTAACATGTTTTATTGACATGGATTCTGTTTTTAGTTTGATTGCACGCAAAATCATTTTTTGTGGTCATCAGTCTCTGGTCAGACAAGCTCTGTGTCACTTGCCTCTACCTAAAGCAAAAGGGGTGGGTTTGAAAAATAGAAAAGACAGAGTTAAATAAAAGGAGTTGGGATTCAAGACCTGGTTTTAAGTGAAATTTTTTGACCACCACCATAGAAGGGGAGATTTATATCTTGATTTGATTAAGATATTGAAAGACAGTCCCTAGCTAATCTGGATATCCTTGATTAAGCACGGTAAGACAAGCTTTACATTAATAACCTTGAGTGTACTGTTCTAATAGAATATATAAATTGGATAAAGACATTTCATGAGCAATTGATAAAACACAAATGTACTTAATAATAAAGCTAATGCAGATGCCTAACACTGGAGTAAATGCAGCTTACACTTCTGACTGGGCTTCTGTTTTGATTGGGCATGCACAGCTGTGTATGCACATATTCACATGCTAGTTTATACATAAAGTTTATAGCACCTTCACATGGTAAATTAAGTTTCATGTGAGGATACTGGACTGGAGTTTACCAGATGTGGATTATATTTCTGGCTTTCCTTAAGAGACTTTCAAAATCCCACTATAAATCACACACCATACTTTGCTACCTCATAGGAAGGTTCTAAGCTTCAGTTAATGAATGTTTGAAAGATATTCAGATACCACAATGAGTAAGTACTTGCCATTTTCTTCAGTACTATCTCTACCAAGTCCTTAATTGCCTCATCAGGGTCTTCATCTGTTGGTTGTTTGATAACGGTGTCCTTCAGCATTTGAAACATTTCTTCTCTCGAAATGTATCCATCACCATTCAGGTCATAAACCGCAAAACAGTCTTTTGAATATAAATAAATTTCAAGTAAATTAATAACTATAATCACATATCATTAAAGCTATCTGTTACCTATAGGGGGAAAATGTGAATTGTACCTTGTACAGCATATCTATTGAGCTACATTTACTATATATTTATATATGTAATATATGTATCACATTTTGATATATGTATTAGTCAATTAGTACCTATTTTCCCTTTATAGTTAAAACTTATTTATTTCTGCTCAAATATTATTCAGTTCATTGAAAGCATACTTACAGATCTTAACTTCTCTTAAATTGTCTATTTAAAATATAAATAAAGTTCTGGCTTAGAAGCCGAATTTCCCATAGTGGGGACCTGCTATCTCTACCAAAAGGACTTTGTACCTACAAAAGACCATCCTCATTTTTTTCAGATGCTGGGTTAGAAAAGTAAAGGACAAAGAAGAATGAGCTGTACTGACCATGCAAAGAGAAAATCCCTTAAACAAAAGTATTTGGGGTATCTGCATAATTCCTCTTCTAATTGTTTCTACCTTCCTGGAATCAGAAATCTATGATCATAATAAACTTTGCTATTCTTCACAAAACTTATTAAACAAACAAACAAGTCTTCAGTTAGGAATGTAGGAGGGTTTTTTTTCTCCTGACAAAGACAGACTATGTCTACAGTGAAAAACACTCCTGGCATACACTTGTGACAGACAACTACTAAATTCCATAGCGCTTACAGCAGGGCTGCATATTTTACTGCTTGTAAAATATGGTACTGACACATATTCATTGTCCTGGGCACACATTCCAGTGCTATGGCATCCCAGGCCACTTTCCAGATGAATTTATATAGTTCGTTAGGGATGGCTGATGCTGCAGCCTGGGAACTGTGGTTGCATAGTTCATGTTGTCATGAAAACAACATGCTTGTCATTCTCCTTTTTCTTATTACCTTTTTTTCCCCATGTGCCCTATTTCTTTTTCTCTGCTTCTTAAAATTTTAGAGTTCTTGCGACTTTTTCTCCTTCATCCTTCTCTGTCATTATTGTGGAGGTTCTCACGACCATAGTCTTACAGACTCAGTTTTTCCATCTGTGCTTCCAAGGTGAAGAACTGACAGAGTTAATGCATCTGCTGCTGTGTCCCCACTGTGCCAGTAGATGAATTTTGGCACTGGTCTTGGTTGGCTTGAGACTGTGCTATTTAGCCAAAATCACCCTAGAGATATATCTGCTGCTTTCTATTTCTGTGTGTGAATACAAAAACATATATTTTGTCAAAACTGTATACTGTAGAATAAGCTTCAGTTCCAATGCAAGTTTTTGTAAGCAACAAAATAAGATGGCAGCTGTAACAGCAGTTTACACAGAAAAAAACTCTGTCTCAGAGAAGCAATTTCAGGACTCAGTTTCATTGCATTAAACTATACAGAAGAAAACTTTTCAATTATCAAATACTTTATGAGAGTAACTACTGAATTACAACAAAAGCAATGTGTTATTTGTCATGAATTCAGTGACTACCAGTAAATATTAGCACACAGATCAATCTTACATTTAATCTTCTCTTCCAGTGTCCCCCGAAGTAATATTGCTAAGCCTTCCACCCACTCCACCACAGTGATGCAGCCATTGTTGTCTCTATCAAAAGTGCTGAACACTGGGAAGTGTATTAGATACATTGTAAATATAAATATTTATAACAGAGAAACAAAAAAGGGAGTATTTTCTTGAATTAGTTGAAATCATAAATCCGTATTTTTTGTGAAGATGTTTACCTGTTTTCACCAAGGTATGATTACCCTTCTTGAATCTAAGATGTACAATGAAAGGGATTTTGCCCCTCAGTTTATTGATTTTCCACTCTAGAATCCTGCTGGGTAAGACATTTTGTTTGATCTGTTGCCTGACTTAGACAACTGCAGGAAGTATGCTTCCATGCAGATGTGAACCAAATAAACCAATATCCCTTACAATAAGGCATGTTTCCATACAGAAATTTTAATTACTAGGTTTTGTCTCAGAAAATCCTGGAGAGAGCAATCCTAGAAACAACATATAAATAGGTTAAATATACAAAGAAAAAAAACCTTCTGTCATGTACCAAAATGTTTTTTCTTCTCCCTTCCCTAAGCAACTTTCAATATTCACAGAATCACAGAATATGCCAAGGTGGAAGGGACCCACAAGGATCATCAAGTCCAATTCCTGGCCTTGCACAGGACCATCCCCAAGAGTCACACCATGTGCCTGAGAGCATCATCCAAATGCTTCTTGAACTCTGTCAGGCTTGGTGCTGTGATCACTTCCCTGGGGAGCCTATTCCAGTGCCCAACAACCCTCTGGGTGAAGAACCTCTTTCTAATATCCAACCTAAACCTCCCCTGACACAACTTCAGGCCATTCCCTTGGGTCCTCTCACTGGTCACCACAGAGATCAGTGCCTGTCCCTTCTCTTCCCCTCATGAGGAAGTTGTAATTGCAGTGAGGTCTCCCCTCAGTCCCCTCCAGGCTGCAGCTTTACTATTCGTACAGCCTGTAATACAGTACTATAGTACTTCAAATCTAAGATACAATTCAAAGCATCGACTAACATCTGTAATAATTCATATTTTAGAATGTTAATTAGTAGGTTGGCTGAAGGAATACCTCTAATTGCAGAGCCAAACATTTTGGAATGGGAAAACAATAAGTTTGCTTCTGCAAACTGAAATCAGCACCTTTGTATGTAAGCACTATTTTTAAGAATGTACACATGTAAGGTATCTTCCAAGACATACTTGACTAACTACATAAAATGGCAACAGGTTTTTATTTTATGGCATGTAAGTACTTCTCCTGCTGGAGAGATTTTATGTATGTAAGTACATATGTATACAATTTTAAGTATGTAAGCATGTAAGTACTTCTCCTGCTAGAAAAAAAGTTGAACCAAGGGGTGGTTCTTGGCAGCCTAGAATGAAAGAATGAAAGCATGGCAGATTGATGCCTCCTCTGCATCCTCCTGTAGACACCTCTACATCAGAGATCATTCATGCAACTTTCACAGTAACTGCAGATGTGGCCCTCATGTTACGAATCTGTGAAAATACTGGATTTTCAAGGGGTTACTTGGCTCATTACTCTCACCTCCCTGTACTCTCTGCCCAATGCCTTCAGTGCTGTTCACAGTGCCTCTAACCCAGAAGTCATCCACTCTAAAAGAATGCCTTTCTGGGACCTCCAGGCCCGAGCTAGAGCTGTCCGCCAGCAGCAGTGACTGCAGCTCTGTGTGGAACCACGGGAGAAGAGGCATGTGACACCACACTGCCCTCTTCGATGGCTCCGATAGAAACAGCTCCAAGGCAGCACTACAATGCCTCTGCCTGGTCTCCCTGGAACTAGAGCGTGAACTACTCTAACTCTGGAAAAACTATTCCGCATGGCATTATTTTGTCTAGGCACACGCCACCCTTTGTTTTCAGAGGTCTCTGCCTCACCTCGGTCCAGGACCACGTCGTCCGTCATGCCAAAGGCGGCGAACAGGGTGTCTCTGAACACGGTGCGGTTGAAGCCGGACACAGCGAACTGGCTGCAGGACCTCTCCACCAGCACGTCGAAGAGCTTGATCAGACATTCCGCTTCGCTTTCGCTGACTGCCCGGCCCAAACACAACCAAACACAGGTTATAAATTACGCTGATAGAACACGGGGCAGGCACCGCGGAGGGCTTGGGCACCTCCGGCGCTGACCACGACACCGGTGACCCCGACCTCCCGCCCCGCAACCCCTGTTCCTGAGGGGGCGGCGGGAAATGCGGTGACACCCCTCATCCCCCCCCCCCTCCAGGGCGAGCACAGGGGCAATGGCAGGCGGCGGGGCGGCTGTGGCGCGGCTCCTGCAGGCCGGCAGACACTCACAGTGCTTGGTGGATCGGCTCAGCGACTCCGCCAGCAGCTGCAGCCTCTTCCTGCTCATGGCGGAGGAGCCGCTCTTGCCGCCGCCGCCGCCGCTGCCCTGGCAACGCGGGCGGGCAGCGCGGCCTGACGGGGCCACAGGGGCCGGGCGTACAAAAACACGTAGGCGAAACAAAGATCAAGTCTTACCGCGCATTTAAAAAACAGCAGTCGTAGAAAATAAATAACTGCGTTTCAAACTTGTAAAAAAATGTTCTGGAAAGAAGAGCTAACAATTAAATACTGTATACAATACTGCTCGTTCATCGGCTGGCAGAAGGCAGAAAACTATTAAAACACTTCTTTTCCCGCATTGCTCGTTTTCTGCTTCATCTCTCTGCTGAAACTTGGAACGTGGCTGTAGGTGCCACCCGAGACCCACAGCACCGTCTCACTTACTCACCTGTGCATATCGGCAAAGCTGAAGGGCTGAGACCAGACTTAACCTTCCCTTCAGGAAAAAGAGGATGCAGAATGAGATGTAACTTACTTCTTAACATATTGCAAACTGAAGCATTTTCCTGTCAGTACTAAAGCAGCTTTGCTGGGAGCGGACAAAGCCCATAAGCCCCTTATGCAGCTACATAAGCATGACAGCAGCACCTGAAGCCCACAACTGGGCAGAACACATAGTGATATGGAGACAATTAAAATGACATCCAGCTTAGGTATTTGGAAGACTGGGTCTCATTTCCATTTTTATTTCTTTCTGTGGCAGGTGGTTGTGTAAAAGTCAAATAAGGTATCACAGAGGACAGAGCATTTATGCTATGGTTCATTACAAGTTCTTCTACCAAAACCGCAACACCACAATTTAAAAAGAAACCAACCCCAACAAAACTAAACACAGACCCCAAATCAAACCCCTACTGTTCACTGCATCTTGCCTTTATTTTAACCTCACTGACAAAGCAGTGTCTAGAATTGGTAACATCAAGCCCAACACTATAAAATATTTGATAAAAATATTACTATCATTTAGAGGGACATTGCTGCAATTCAATGGTTGTATTTTCCCAAGAACTTCAAGTCAATTTCTCTGTACAAAGGCAATATGAAATCATCTTGCTCTCATAGTTTTTAGTTATGGTTTGCAGACTAATCATCAATGTCCTAAAGTTCTTGAAATTCTTGGCAATACAATATTTGAAACATCTGTATGCAACAGAGGTAAGTTCTAAGGTAGCACCTGTGCAATGAAAAAAGGGGTGGATCAAGAATACAATGTACAGTTGACTGTCTGGGATGGAGGGGCAGTTCTTAAAGGCTAGCAGAAGGCCCAGCAATCAGTATTTCAATGGAAGATATAGTGAGAATTTCATGTAAACTAAAATCGAATAGTTGCTTGTGTGTTCTTGTGTGCACATTTAATTTAAAAAAGCTTTTTTTCCAATATGTAAAGCAACTAAATTGAAGTAAATCAGCTTTATGAGTTACATTAACATTCTGTAGCCCTCAAGTACAAAAATATAAATACAAACTGTTTAAACAGTATCTTTAATGAGATTCTGGCAGTAGTTTCTTTATCTAACAAGACATGTAACGTAACAGATCTGCCACTGAACTTGCTTAGAGTAAAATCAGCTTCAATATGAAGCTGTTTAGGTATCAAAACCCTGCTTTTTACATGCTAAATATCTTCAGCAAGTGTGCACTTAAACACAGCAATGAACTTCAACTAAATACATACATGAAACTCTGCATGTGGAACATAATTCATAGAACTGGTTATACAACAAATCATTACCTGCATTTTGTTAATTTAAAAATGGTACAAATCATGCAAAACAATTCTAAAGGTAACGCAAAGAAAGCTACAAGTGTTCGCAAGAAGTTTTCAATTAAAACAAAATAACATTAAATGAAATATGCATATTTACTAGCAAAGGTCTATCGCTATTTCAAAGAAGCAGAGGTAAAATACTCAGTTTTGACTGTCAGTTATACTGCAAAATGTCATTGCTCTTGCTTAATGCAGAAGCACATGCTTGGAAGCTCAGAACTGCTTATTCAGAAAAAGTCTGCCGTCTCTGACAATAGCTCTAGCTTCCCAGGAATCAGAGATGCTGCATGGATTAAAAGTAGCAGAGATTTGCAAGAATCAAAGGCAAAGGCACCCTATTCAGTCAGCCAAAATGGTAGCATTCCCTTTCTCATAAGCATGAAGACGGTTAGGGGCCAGATGATGCACATTTCTACACAGGCAGCCTTTTAAATGTTATTAATTTTCCATTAGCAGACACCAGCTTGCAATAGTTTATGTATAGGATTAACCTGCAGGATGAACTTGGGATTTAATTTGTCCTGATTTACAAATAAAGACTATTACTAATGCTTTAAAAGACTACTTTTACTATCTAAAAAGTTTAACTCTTATTTTCCAATATTTTACACCCCAGCTGGCCTACCATCTCACATTGTTTCAAACACCCATCACTGCTTACTGGAATTTTCTATAAGTTGTACCTCATGTATTAAGCAGCAGGCAATAACAATGGTCTGTCCTGGCCCAGCACAGCTGCATCTGGCTGGCTATTGAAAGATTAGGAATATTTCTAAAACACAGGAAAACTCATGCAGTTTGGTAAAGTTTGCTGTCATTTCACAGTTTAAGTTTTCTTTAGTCATTACACTTCTGTTGATAGTCTTGGGGTGTTTTAAATATTATTCTGAATCCGAATTCGAACCAGCAATCTTCTTTTTCTTCTTTTTACCATGTTTCTTGTGCTTCTTTCTCTTTTTTGTTTTATCCTACAAAAAAAATTAAAGTTATTGTATAATACGATTTCCATCTGTTACATTCTGCTAAGGTAAAATGAGAGCACAGAAAGGGTAACTTTGCAAAGACATTTCAAAAGAGATTTCTACAGAAGCCCACTGAGAAATCACAAAAAAAAAAATCGTATTTCACCCAGCAATTTGCACTATTATGAGCAGTCTTCAATTTATCTTCACACTTCTCATGAGGCTCACCATTACATTTCCTAATCTTTTAAATGATTTTCAGTGCTTTATAGATTACTGAGAAAGTAATATGGAAGTGCTTTGACTACCCATGACATCTTATATATGTGGGAATAACTAGGATGTTTACAGATTTTAAAGCAAAGCACTTAAATTCACTGTGCAAAATGAACTAGTTCAACTGCACTTGGCTAGAATCTCTAGCACTTGTACTTTGTTTAAAATAAAACAATTATGATCTCAATTGTAAATACAAAAACACTCAAATTAACCCTACTGAATTCAGTACTGAAGCTAATATGCTGATCCACTGTAATTCAGAAGCTGAGAGGTACAATCTTGTCTTTTTGCAAGCAGAATTTCAACAGGAATTCTTACATAGGTGTGATATTACATAAATTAAAGAACCAGTATAAAATACACATAATTTTATACATATTCCTTACACATACACATCTTCTGCAAAAAAACCCACAATCAATCACTGGAAATCTTACGGCAAACAGTTTATATGATTCTGAAAAAAACCAACACGTTTCATAAAAAAATGTATACTGAGTATCACTGATACTCCTATGCTTGTATTTTCAGGTGACTGATGTAAGCCTTCCCTTCGCTCTAACCTATCTAGCCAACTGAGATGCCTAATTAGGAACACTGCTGCTGACAGGGGAGAGATTATACAGACAACTCGACTGGGCATTTAGGATTTTAAAACCACTATGCTCCTAAATGAGGAGCCTCAGGGACATGTGATAAATTTAGGTTCTATATCTGCTGAACCCTCCTTTCACTTTTATCATCAAAAACAAATCAACAAAACTGAATAAAGTAACACGTTGCTGGCAGCTTTTTGGTTGTGGGTAGAATTATAATGGTGCAGATGTTGCAGCAATTATGTCCTAAGGCCCTTTTCATTGTGGAAGAGAGGAATTACACACAGTGCTAACAAAGGAACAGCACTGATGTCTGCCTGTGTGGCAAACTGCTACCCTACCCAGTAATCCACAGGTAGTAGTAGTTCGAGTAGGTTGATAAAGAGTACAATTCTATCGTTAAGTGTTAAATATATAAATCTCAAATCCTATAGAGGTAAAATAGTGACAAATTCTTCTTTAATTCAACAGCTGAAAAAAAGTGACTTCAACAGGTAAACGGAGAGACTCAATTTATATTCATGTGACAGTAGACTATTGCTATAAAACATCTGCAATAGCGAAAAACGTGACACTGGAAATTAACCAAGAACAGAGTGTTTATATCCTGAAACTACAGTATGACTAAGAGGGATACTTGCTGTTTTCTCCTTTTCCTCACTGTTTTTCTTCTTTTTTGCTTGCACCTAAAGAAAAATTAACCCAAATGTAATATCCATAAAAGTTGAATATTTTCAAGAAAATTAATTCAAAATGACTTGTTGGTGATAGAGGCTGGACTAAACAATTCTTACTAAAATTTTTTATTGAAGATAGTAATATCAAAAACTTTGAATGTGATGCACTCTCAGATTCCCCCATAGAGAGCAGAATAGTTTCAACAATATATTCAACCTAAGCTAGTTCATTCATTTACTTTGGTGAATCAGTAAGTTACAAACACTGTAACATCTGAAACTGAGGTTGCACTGACCTCCTCAGTCTGATCCGATTCAGATACAGATTCTGATGATAAAGGTCCATCACCACGATCTGCTTTCTTCCTTTTCCTGTGATTTTTACCTTCCTACACAAAAGTAATATATTTGTGAGTAAAGTCAGGCCTTTCAAATTTCATAAAAATTCTGCTTAAAATTTAAGATTGAAATATCACTTCTAAATTGTGAAGTATTTTAAAATATTGTTGACATTAAACTTAACTAGTCATCATCATCAACAAATTACCCCACCAAACTGTTAAAATGCTTTTAGTGAAAATAATAATGTTATGTATATTCCTTTTTCTTGTTACCAAGATACAGCAACTTTCTATAAGTGAGAGGAATAATAATAGTCTCTTATTTTAAGTAATAATACATGGAGTAGGTATTTGAAAATAAGACATTTCCCCACTTTTAAACAATGTATAACTGAAGATGTCTCAATACATGCACACAAACACTGCAGCTTCAGACTCTTGCTTTGTTGTTGCAATTGAAAGAAAAAGCCCCCTCTACATTTGTGTTGAACCAGGACACGCTGTCCCTGCCAGCTGCACTTCCAGCACTTCATATTTAATTTCAGTGCATTTAAAGGACAGTTATTGTGTGAGATTGTTTGATGAGCTACTTTTCTGCCCCCCTGCACTTCTTTGCTCTGGACCAGAGAAGGTGTTTCTAAGACTGAAGCTACTTTCCTTCACTCAATTTTTAAGGCCAGAATCTGAAAAAATTCATGCCAATAAATTTTTTTTTGCAAGGCAGGATCACACATCTCAGCTGTGTTATTGAGTCTATTACAGACATCTCAATCATTTCCCAAAAGAACTCATGAAAAGTACCATGACACAGCCTGAGAGATGGGGGATCTACAGGTAGGGAACACCTCTAGTCCCTAAGTGCCTTTCAGAAGATGTGTGAAAGCAGCATTACAATAAGGAACTATGGTAGACACTTCAAAGCTTTGAAGAGAAGCTACTCAAAAGGAGTTGATGCGAACTGGACACTATAAAATAGCAGCAGGAGCAACAGGAAAAAAAATCAGTGCATTTGCCTCATGTAATGGATAATTTGTACATCAGAATCAATACTACTGACTGAAATAGCAGAGTGCAATGTAATAAGAAAGGTAATTGGAGAGAAAGACTTGGGTGGACTCTGAAAGCATTGTTAGTTTACCCATAGGGTAGGAATAGCTAAAATTGAAGTCAATGAGATTATTCACAATCAACATAATGGAAGGAACATAATAGATGTATACAAAATGGTGTAGTGGTGGGAAGGAGAGAGGATTTTCATGCTCAGAGAAAAGACAGAATAAGGTAGTTTTTCTTAAGCTAATACAATTTCCCCTGCAATTCTTCAAAGCTATCGTAAGTACAGCAGCTATAATTATGACTACATTTAGATGAAGAAATCTTCTGCTTGATGTTCCTTAATTTACAGGAACAACCCAATATCCTACCAGGTATGCCACTGAAATGTCATTGCACAGATTTTTAGCTCAATGTGACAGCTAAAGGTAAACCCCAAAATACTAGAATGCAGCTGATCTACTACAGCAAATTAGGTAAGTTTTTTATTTACCTTCGTAACAAGAACAGATCCAGCAGTTTCTACTAATATCAATTACTAACACAGGAGCTGAATCCAACTAAAAGTCTACCTTAAATCTGGGCACTGAATACCTTCTGAGTGTGTAGTTTTGGACAGAAAATTTCCATAGGTGTCAATTGAGGCATTCAATATTAAAAAAAGAAAGCTCCATTCTGTATGCAAAATGCAGTTCTGATGTAAACATTTAAAGAATAAAAATACCTTCTCTTTTTCACAGTCTTCCTTTGACCTCTTCTTTTTTGTGCTGTCCTAAATAGAAAGGAAAACATAAACCATGACAAAATTATTTCATGAAAAAGGCAGAAATCCCAAAAGCAGCCCAATTCATACTCTTTTTCTGTCTCTTGAAAGTAATTCTTCAAAGTTATCCTTTCTACCTTGCAGTGAACAGGAAAGACATGAAAAAGACGTAATTTTGATGCAGCTGCGTACTTCCTGAATGATGAGCATGAAAAGTCTGTATGGCATCAGGTAACAGTGTACTTGCAGTACAGGTAGAGAGGCTCTGGAAAGGATACCAGCTATCACTGCTGTAAGTGCATATAAAATGGAACAGTCAGGAGCCTTTCTTCTTTATCCATATCCATCTTCACTGATCAGGCTGGGGTTAAGCAGGTATTTCCCTAGAATTTTCTGCCTTCCAAGTATGTCTGTGTCCTTTTATATAGCAAATTTTTTAAACCTCCCATAAGCAAAAATTCATAGGTGTGTGCAAACAGGATTCATCAAACTTATACCTGACTGAATTAGGTATTCCAGTGAAAGCCTGTGATAAAGTCTACACCCAGAATCTTAACAACTCACTGTAATATTACTATTTTGTCAAGAAGTGCAGTTACTATACACTGTAACACAGAAAAATACTAACATAACAGAACAAATTGCCAAACTTCTTCACGTTTTTGTTCATTCAATAAGCCTTTGTATCTAATTACTTTCAGAAATGGAAAAAGACAACCTCAGTTTAAGATGCACTTGGGAAAGGCTTAGTTCTCCAACAAGAAACTAGTCAGTTCACAGATATTTAGAAAGGCAATATTCTGGCCACTGATATCCTGCAATACCTGTATTTTCACAGATGGTGTTCAATTAAATAGCATATTCAGAAGAATTTTACAGAAAATAGTATTACTGTAGTATTAAAACAAAACATTTGAGCAGCAAAAAAGTTGCATGTGTCTGAATTCAGAAAAATAACTACAAAAGGCTGGAATAAAGAATGTTCATTTTCTAAAGATCAAATTATTTCTTCCAGGCTTTGGGGCCAGTAGAGGCAGATTCCAGATTGCATGCAGAAGATACAAGTGCAGCTCAGGCATGGTGAGAATGAAAAGATTTAAATTTGGAAGACAAAAAACCATACTGATATGTAAAACTCTCTCTTTATAACACATCTGCATATTCACCTTGCTGTCTGACTCAGATTCTGAAGTTGAGCTTGCTGAAGATTTCCGTGAGGAGCGATACTTCTTTTTCCTTCTTTTCTTCCCTTGCTTTTTATCCTATCCACAAATATTGTAGAAAAGAAGAAAAAACATAAACTTGAATTTATCCTCATTAGAACTGAAGATTTACATTAAATGTAAAGAAGAGGGAACACCAAATTCCTACATGTTATCATGTTCTCTTGAGGAATAAAGTACGCTACAATTGATTCTTTTAGTGGAGGACCTTCATAACTCTTCTGCATTGAAAAAATGTAAACTGGTGAAAAATCCAGGTTCTCTAGGTACTGTTTATTATTTAGATGTGTGCTGTAGAATCTGATTATCTGTAACAAAGATTTTTGCTAATAAGTGAAAATGGTATGTTTGCGTTTTTATGATTAGATGGGAGATTCTATTAAAAAAGCATATGATTCAAACGTTAAAACAGAAACAGATCCAGTTTACAAGCCTGGAACCCAAAATCTATAGCATTCCTACAGAAACTATAGAATAGATATCTATGTCTAAAATTAACAACTTTATTGTATGTACCAAATGTATAAAAATTAAACAGTTTTATGCAAACCAAATCCTCAAACAATATTCTAAAACATATTACCAAAAACTGTGTTAAATAAGCTTCATAAACAAAACCTGATAGATTCCAATAAGTTAGCTCTTACCTCATCTTCTGAATCAGATGAACTGCTGGAAGAATCAGAGCTTGATGAAGAAGAGGAAGATGAAGACAACTTGACCAAACACAACAAAAAGTGAAGCTTGTGAGATGCAGCATTTTGTCTAGCAAACAGTCAAAAGCCCATCCGAACACTCCCTTTAAAATGTCTTCATTTTCAAAGTATCATCAATAAAATTTTACCGCTAAGAAGCTCATCCTACATAGATTTTCCTAAACAAAACTAAGTAACTTCTAACATTTTTCATTTAATAATATCTATTTACTGATCTTTTCCTCCCTTTACGCAGAAATAAAATTCTCCTTGTACAGAATGTATGCAAACCCTCTCTAATAAAAGCAAGTTAATGTAACACCTGAAATCAAAATTACTGCCATACTTTTTCTTTCCAAGACAACTTAAATGACAAATAAGAACAACCCCAAAGCAAAAAAGCTCAGAAAAGTGAAAATTTTGCTCACCCTATTAGATTTCTTCTTTTCCTTTTTCTTTTTCTTAAAAGTAAAATAAAACAAATGTTACTTTGGCGCAATTTTTTTGTATCATGCACTTAGATTTATAAACTTTGATGATGGCTTTTAAAATGTATTTATGAAATTCCGTGTTGGCAGCATTGATGTTCCGAACTATGACTGTATGAAATTGAAAATAACTTACCTCTTTCTTTTTGGAGGAACTCTCATTTCCACCCAGTAATTTTTCCCTGTGTTTTTCCAGTTCTTTCCTCCAATTCTAAAACCAAACAGAAGCAGTGACAGGAACATAATTTCCAAACAGCTTTTTTTAAATTCTCCTCTACATGACATTATAGTTTCAACAGAACCCACAGAAAAAAAACAACATATAATGTTGACCAAGGCTGTAATACACTTGATTTTACGTAAGATTAATATTCATCAAAATACAGTGCTAGTTCATGTGTTCAAGTTATTTGGCTTTAAGAGACCGTTATTTGTCTTGAAGGTCATTAATGATGGCATTTTTGCTTTTGTATCACAGTGTTCCACCTAGAGCACTTAAGAAAATGAGGGTACCCTACCAGAAAAACTGCAATTTTTTCTTAGTTCTAAAAATCACCTGAAACAAAACTTCAAGACAAATTCTCCTCAGCCTTCTTCAGTGTATGTGTCTGTAGTGTCTGTTCTGGGCCTTGCTGATGTCAGCAATAATTAGATAAAACTACTATACACACCTTCAAAGAAATGCTCTTATTTTTGTTAGGTCAAGCACACCGGATGGATGAATGAAAGTCTCCTCTCATTCCTCCTTTTCAATTTCTGACACAGTCTCTAGGTCTACCTAAAATCTGCCCTTCAAGAACGTTGAGCATCCAACCTGGCCCCATCAAACTGAAAGGCTGCTACGTTCAGTCTGCACTGCCAGACACATCATGTGCTCCCTTATTTATTATTCTGATCCTCACAATGAAGCTGTACTGGTAATGTATTGGCAAAACAATGATAATCTACATATTGTGCTGAAGGGACAGAAATATCAGGAATTAAGTATAATACATAGATCCCCATGTCAGCATCCTGTCAATTAGCTCAACAGTGCTGATGAGAGACATGGCAGATTAGCCAGGATACAGTCATGTGCATAATGTGCTTCCACAGTCCAAGGCAGCATCTATGGAATATTGCAGTGGGTTTGTACTTTGATATACTAGGTACCCAGAGCTACCTGAGGGGTTCCTAACAACAGCCTGTGCTTCGTTAGGCCACTGTTCTCTTTAAATTAAAGACTGTGCTAGTGTTATGTTTTAAACAAAAAATCCCAACAACTGTCAGTAAAAAAAGGGAAGAAAGCACCTCATTCAGAGACTTGCAATCTTTTCAACCATTCAGAGATTTGTTCTTAGGAGCTTTGGGAATAACTCATGGCTATTTCACAATTCCCTGCAACCCTTCCTGTCATTCTGCCATACTGAAAGGTTCTATCTGTGCCAGATTCAATTATTTCACATGAGCACAGATAAAATCAGGAAAGGAACATGACAGAATACTAAACCAAACTCACCAACACAAAAGCCACAGAGCATGGTGTCGTGGTTTTGCTCTGGGTCAATTTGCTTTCACACTCCCTACACAATTACTGTAAGTTGAGAGAAAGTTTATGCAGACAAAAGAGACTGGATTTGGGGAAAAGAGTATGAATATTTATTACTAGCAAGTTAAAACTAAAGAACTACATCTATAACAATTCTACTGAAGTAAAAGTGTTATGTATTTACAGAAAAATACTTCTTCCCCTTTTATATCAGTCCAAGGAGGAGAAGCAGTTTCTTTTTCTATTCTTGGAGTTCCAGATCTTCTCAATAATTCTGTAGCATTCTCGTCGCAGCTGGAATTCCTTCATCTCTCTCTCTCGCTCTGTGTTGGCCTCCAGGGTTGGGCCTAACCCCCTTCTAGGCTAAGACCGGAGGCTGGAGGTTACCCAGGTTCTGAAGGTTTTTCTCTTCCATGGGGTTTGCAAGGGGACACTTGCTTACCATGGATCTTCACCACAGGATTACAGGAGATTATGGTTTATGAGTCCACCCCTGTTTTCCTATGAGGTCCTTTCCCATGGGAGAACAGTCCTTGATAGACCTTGCCAGCATGGGTCTAGCATGGATCCCTCACTTGGATCCCAACATCCTATTTGGGCCGTCTCGTTCCAGCATAGGTTTCCCTTAGGATCACAAAATCTTCAACAGGACTCTGCCTTACTTCAGTCCTTTTCACGAAGTCTCGGTTCTCTGGTACATTCACAAGCTCCTCTGTGAGCGGCATGAGGGTCTCTTCACCCCAACAGTCTCCTACAGGTAGCAGGGATTATTTTTCAGTCTTTTCCCTGCTGAAGGGAGAAAGGGGAAAGAAGCAGCCCCCCCACCTTCGAGTTTTTCTTCTCTCTGGCTGCCAGCGTCGACCTTGGACACTTCGTCATCTCCCTGCTGGAATTTTGCAGCGGTTGCTGTCCAAGCAGTCAGTCCTTTAAAGTTTTTTTTTTCTTCACTCTCTTACATGAGAGAAGGGGAGCTTCAGTGCCACCCCTGCCCCCGGCCCAAGCTGGGGGAGAAGAGGGCCTGGCCCTCCTCAGGCCCGCTGCCTCTCCTACATGGTTGCTGCCCCTAATTTCAACTGCACCACAAACCTTCTCTTCTGTTTTCTTAAATATGTAATTAGCAAAGGCGTTACTGAGAGTTTTAATTGGCTTTTTGTCCGGAAATCCACCTGGACAAAACCATTCTCAGCCCCAGAGGCTGACTGGCTGGGCAAAACCACGACACACGGAACAACTGATCCTTTCAGAATAGCACCCCATGGCCCTCCAAATCCTGGTACAACTTCTTAGGCAAAAAGGTACAGCAAGAGTACTAAGGGGTACTATGCCCTTCCAGTAACAGACGAGGAACATAATCTACTTCAATCAGAAACTCACACACAATAATGAAGATTACTGCCTGCAGCTTATCTCAGGATACCAGGACCCAAGAAGGAACAGAAGCAGTTAAATTCACTGCAGACTAATTTCTCCCTTCTATACAACGGGAGTAACACGTGAAACATTCATATACTGGGGTGATCTCCAGTAGGTGTGGAATGCAAGGATCAGAACAGCTGCATTTATAGCAGAGAACCAGCACATGCTGTAATCAGCTTAGGATGAGCAAAAAAGAAAGGGCTTTGTAGTCCTATCTGTACACTGAAGGCCATTTTTGTGCCCTCTCCCATATTAGTATTATATGTACATTCCTTGCCAAAGACATCTGCTTCCAGTAACACATTTTTTCCCAATATATTTGGACTCTGTGATACTAAACAAGTGACGATAAGCACAAGAGGCTTATGTTTATCCTATCTGAAAATGTACTAGTTTAATTTATTAATATAAGCACATGCATTTGCATAACTATATTTACATTTATGACAAGGTCAAGTTTGATTCACCAGTAAGTTTAAAAACTTTTTATATAGTGTTTCTCTGAACTGAGAGTAACTCTTCACTGGTTAAATGGTAATCGTAACTCTCGATATAAATGAAACAAAATATTTACTCGTTAAAAGCTCGAGAGAAGTGAAATACTATGGTTAGTTGGTACTGTTAATGATAACAAAAGAAAAGTAGCTTGTTGGATAAGAAGAATCATGTATTAACAGCTAATAACATTACCAACCTCATTCATCTTTTCTTCAAACTCAGCCAAAGCCCTGGATCCTTTCTTTTTCTTTTCTAGTTGCTCTTTCACTTCTTCCCTACATGAAAAGGATGACAGATCACAATTTTCACAATTAAAAATACCTTCTTCTTGCCCTCTTCAACATCTAACTTTTTGTAGAGTTTTTTTTTTTATAGTTTAGCCTTGGTTGAACTTCCAACAGAAGAAGCAGGAAAGCATCTTAGATGTTACACATATGGTAACCTAACCCTAATAACTTAAGTATGGTAGTTAAATCCCTCGAGAAGATCTAAAGTTAACTTTGCAATTAAGTAAATTGTTCTCTAATGTCTCATGAAAGTGGGCAAAAGGGACTGAACATAAAGTAAGTTGCTGATAATATCTCAAAGTGAGGACTTTGTTGGGTAGGTAAACTGTTTTAAGAACATATCAGCAAAATGTTTTTCTAGCTATTAATTTGTTTACAAATTAAATATATCTGCAGGGTTTAGGTATTATTTATGAAAAGAGGTAAAATGACAAACATTTTCCTCTACTGAGAAACTGTGCCAAAAAATAGAGACAAATAAGAAATATACATTTCAAAATGAAATACTACTGGTTTTAAAAGAGAAGATTGAAAACACATTTAGAAAAAAACCCACTTTGGTCAGAGACAAGAAATCTTTTCAAATCTATTAGTGGATATTCTGGGGAGGTAGGTACCAGTGTCATTTCAGTGAGAGGGAACAACTTTTTTACTTAAAAGGCCAGAATAGTAGAGAGGTATTGCCACTTACCATGTTGGTCTTGGCCTGTTCAAGTAGTCTTGTATTGTTGGTCCTGAATTTGGTGCAGGACCTCGTGCTCTGGCCATAGCTATGGGATTCATATAAGCCTTTAATATGAAACAACAAAAAGAAATATAAAACTCATCAACTGCACTATGATACCAAAAAAACTTTTTTTTTTCTTCACAAAAACATCTTCTCACTCGTTGAAAAATAATTCTGACTTGCTTCTAAGAATATAAAATATTTAACTAAAACAAGTTGATTTGGTCTGGCAGAAAAGACTCAGGTAAATGCTTTCAATTTGAGTTATACTGTGGCAGAAAGAACTGATCCACAAAAAGACTATATTCCTTACAATAAGTCCCCTCCCTGAGCAATGATTTTGCAAACTGAGAGTAGTAGCATGATTGCTGAAATATTCTTCCTTGGGACATGGAAAATGTAATTTTCTTTCAGCTCGTGCTCTCTGGGACAACTGATGCTATGCCTTTAGCATTCTCTTTGAAACTGATGACAGTAGATTCAATAAATTCTGCATGAAATTTCTTGCTGTAACACCAAAACAAGAAAGCAGTGGTACTCTGCTACAATTATGCATATATGAAAATTCAATGACTTAGGGCCATTTGAGGAGAAAAAACCCTCCAAAACCAAACATACATAATGCCAATTTATGAGGTATTCCATCTTTCAAACCCTTGCATCCTGTTTGAGCTACAGAAGATTAAATTAAACTTAGAATCCATAATACACCTTTCTTCATGTGAAAGGGAGGTACATACACCCCCTTATCTCACAGGTTTTTATCACATAGTCCCAACACTTTACAATTTACTTCTGCAGAACATAACACACATTGTTCTTACTGTTCAGTTTGGAGATGAGGAAAAAGATCAAACAGTCCAAACAATGCTTCTCTTTGGTTGCCCAATCTGAGACATTTTTTTTAAAGAGTACAACATTTTGTAGATTCAAAGCAAAGATTTGACCATCTGTGTAGCTGCTACACGTCCAACACTTCTTTTTTATCAGGCACTCAGAAACCACCATGCACAGGAGGTGACCATTTGTGAAAGCTTGTCAGAAGCAGCTGTCAGAAGCTGTATCCCCCAGCAGAAGCAGTGACCACAGCAGTGCTGAGTTCCTGGTCTGCAAGCAGGCTGGTGGCCTTCAGCTCTTGGGGATACATTTAGCCCTGCAAGAGGGACTCTGAGCTCTGCCTTGGATAGGGCACCTGGCTGAACTGCCCACACAAGTTTAGGTCACGATCTGGACCCGGACCACACTGAAGCAATCCAAGGACTCTTTCAAGTCGAGCATTTTTTGACTCAAATTGACTCTGAAACTCTAAAGGTGACATTTGCTGCTGTTTCTCGGGGATTTGCTCTGTGGCTTTAATTCACACAAAAAGGCTAACTAATACAGGCAAACACAGGTGTGCCAACTGAAACAAGCAGCAGATGGATGTACGTACTCCAGTAGTTAAAACACTTAGAAAGAGTCACTCAGGTTACAAATCTAAAAATTAGTACAATTTTCATAATTGAATTCAGCTTTGAGCAGAAAAGGAGTTCCTTTGGAATGCAGTAAACAGTATTTGAACATTGTTTTGACTAAACAAAGGTAATTTTAATGTACTAGGTCTACTAGAAATTTGGCTTTCTACAGCGAGCATGCCAACTCAACTCTTTTTGGTGACCAATCAAGAATTTGTATCTTAAAGCTCTTCTTAATATAATTACTTTCTAAAAAACAAGGTCTCTTGCTGCTCTTAAATAAAATTTAACCACTTGTGTACCTGAGTTAACATATAATGAACAGCCCCCCATCTCCCAACAAAGCTCTATACCTGCGGAAGAGACAACTGTCAAATGTCGTTTTTCTACTTCCTCAAACCACCCCTGGACAACTGGCTAGGAAGCTTCCTCTCTTTCTTTAACATTCCCACAGCAAGTACATAATGACTGAGTACTGCTCTATGTTCCATGATTAGGAAATTTATGTCTTAAAACATGTTCTTATAATTTCAAACAGGTTTATTTATGAAGAATTACTTCACCAATAAACATTTCTGAAAAGTATTCACACTACTTTGCCAAACTGCATGTCACTAGCCAGAGAGAGCATGGAAAAGCACCCTCAATAAAGAAAGTGCTTGTCTGCACATTCATTTTCTTTTTTTGGCAGTTTGCTCAAGCAGATATTAAGAAGGTATTTGCTTTATAGCTTTCATGCTCATGAAAAGCATAAATCACCTTCAATCAGGCATGGTTCTCTGGGAAAGCAATACTAACTACTACTGCCTTGCAAGTATCCTGTAGATGTGAAAAACCTCGTTTATTTTCCATCTCCAAATACTCAAAATGATGGTGTATTTAAGAAGGGATGTGTTAGAGAAGTCTGGTAGAAAGCTGTACAAAAACACATGAGGAGCAAAGGGTCCTGTATTCTAATCTGTCTTGTACTAGGAAGCCATGATGGCACAATGACCATTATATACGAAGATAAGGATTTGCTGGCATTGGTAGGTATTTCCCAACTGCTCTATTAAAAGCTAATTAAGAATAAATAAATACACACCCAAAAACATGACAAGAAGGCAATACATTTCAAGCACAGGGTCCGGTCTTGGGAGTCTAACACTGTCAACTCTTTCTTAGTAGATTCCATTATTTTGACACCTCAATAAAGCAATCAAAGGCACTTTGCTATCCAGCTGTATAATATATATGTCCTTCATGTCTACTACTATATTATTCCACCAAGGTATGCAAAGATGTGAATGGATCTGAGTATGAACACACAGCATATACTAGAAAGAAACAAAGAAAGGGGAAAAAATAAAAGTATTATGATTCGTGTTTAATCATAAAACTCAGTTGTAAATTTACAATGCCTAAATGATTACGAGTGTAAGGTGAAGGGCTAACTGATACAAAAACATTTAAAGACAAACAGGAAAAAGGATGGACTGTGTGAAATCAGGCTCTGCACTCAGGTGTGCAGAAGCACATTTTTTGACTGCTGAGCGCTAGCTCCCGAAGCAGCAGTGCTATGTAAAGCTAAATTTCAGATCGCTCAGGTACAGCTGAACGGCAAGTTTAAGGAAATACGGCTGAGCACGGCAAAGAGCTACTTCAGGGGGTGCTGCAACTCCCAGTGGGAACGTTTTATTTTTGTACGGACCAGGCCAGCATCTTAATCACCTTCCCCCGCCAGATCACAAAGCAGGCGTCAGTCACGATGCTGCCAGATTTGACAAGGCAAAGAAAGACTCTGCCAGGGAGCCGCGGGCACGTGCCGAGGGAGGGACACCCCGCACGGGGCTCCGGCAGCTCCCGGGGCTACACGGGGCACGGCCCGCCTTTGTCGCCCGCAGGCGGCCCCGAGCCCGGCCGGACCCGGTCCCGCCGCCGCGTACCCACCCGGCCCCCGGGAGCCTTCGGCCCGCCGCGGGAAGCCCCGCCGGCCCCGGGCCCCTCCCGTCCCCCGCGGCAGCCCTTTCTGCCCCACCCGGCGGCCGCAGCGCGGCGGCGGCGGCCGGACAGGCCCGCCGGGGCCGAGGGAGAGCCCAGCTCCCCACGGCCTCCGCGCCGGACGGGCGGCGGCTGTGGAGGATCCCAGCCGCGCTGCCCGCGTTACTCACCACCCGGTTATCCCGCTTCCCCATGGCGCCGCCGCCTCGCCTCGGCTGGGCCCGGCCCGGCCCGGCCCAGGATCCTTCCCCGCGCCCGGGAAGCCGCGGCCCCGCTCGGCCCCGAGCGGCCGCGGAGCTGCGGCAGCGGCGATGGCGGCGGCCGCACAGCGCCCCCTGCCGGGCCCGCGGCACTGCCGCGGCCACCGGGGCCCCTCGGCGGCAGCGCCCGCCCCGCCCCGCCCCGCCCCGCGCGGCCCCGCGGCGCTGAGGGGCGGCCCCGGCAGCGGCGGGGGCGGAGCGGGCGGGAGAGGGGGGGTGATACTGCGGGGCGTGCGGTGGGATGGTGGCAGTGGCGGGATGGGTCAGGTTCGAAGGGATCACAGTGAATCATCTGGTCCAACCTCCCTGCTCAAGCGGGGGCGTCCCAGAGCACAGAATTGTGTTCAGACTGTTCTTGAATACCTCCAGTGAGGGAGAGGCTCCACAGCCTCTCTGGGCAGTCTGTTCCAGTGCTCGGTCACCTGCACAGTAAAGACTCTTACTCACGTTCAGGTGGAGCTTCCTGTGCATCAGTTTCTGCCTGTTGGCTCCTGTCCTATTTCTCAGCACCACCGAGAAGAGCCCGGCTCCATCCTCTTGGACACCCCCTATAAATGAGGTCCCGACTCAGTTGTCCCTCTTCTGAGGCCGAACAGGCCCAGCTCCCTCAGCCTTTTCTCGAAAGAGAGATGTCCAGCCCCGCAATCATCCTCGTTGCCCTCCGCTGGACCCGCTCCGGGAGCTCCATGTCTGTCCTGTCCTGAGGAGCCGCCGGCGGGGCGAGCGCCAGGACAGCCCTTGTGAGGGGGAGCGGGGGGTGGCTCTGAGCGGAGCCCGGGTGAAATGTAAACGTGCACTGGCATCCTGGGGCGCCCGTCTGCAATCTGCATCCCAGGAGAGGGCAGAATTTCATGGTGAGGGCTTTGTCTCTTGATCCATCTAGTGGCCAGCTACAGATAGAAACGCGGTGTTGCTTTTTCCTTGGGTAGGTGCATAGACTAAGGTATTATGAAACAGCAGCCTGTTCTGGCAGAGAATTCAATGAAATGGGGTTCTATTGGGGGGAAAAAAAAAATGTGTACTCATCCCTCGTTAGCCATCTGCACTGCAAGATAAAGCGCATCACAATATTGGCAGGTTTAATATTACACTAAGGTATTGGAAGTGCTAAGAGAAGCCCATGAATCACCAGGACCTGCTAATACAAATTTTAAATGTCCTTTTCTTAAAGCGTTACCATTAAAAATTACTGCATGCTAGTCACCACTTTGTAAAAATGACAAAAAGTAATCACGTTAATACGTTAATCATACAAAGCAAAAATGAGTTTTGTTTCTGAAATAATTTTGCTGTCTTCATCATATTTGGGAATAGCTGGAAAAACTGGTGACCCAATGGGAATTTGTGATACCAAATTGCTTAGTAAAACCAAGAGCAGGCTGTGAGGAACTAGAAGGAAACTAAGAAAGTGACTACACCAGATTTGCAAGTAAAATTTGTTCAGTTGCAAACTAAATTTAGTGTTCCAAATTGCAAGATAGTGCATAAGGGAAGGGATAATGTTTATTCCTCAGAAAATAGCTGATATGTTTTAAAACAAAGATGGCTACTTTGGAAACACATCGGGCAGTTCTCCCTGAGCTGCCTGCAATGCTCGAGAAGTACTGTGAAGACGAAAGAAACTGCATTAAAATACATACAAAATGAAGTTGGAAATATCACCAAATATATTATGATATCCCTTTTGTGAAGCACGGTGATGTCCTCGCCCTGAATGCATCTTCAGATTTGGGCCATTTTGGAGTACCCCCGTGCAATCTGGTTTTAGATGGCATGCACCAGGGCACTGCACCCCTGCAGGCTGTGCCCAGCACCACTACAGCCCTGGGCGGCACAAGGGTGGCCCCAGTTGTGAGAGCATGGCTGTCTGTCCGTCCCTGTGCTGGCACAGTGGCCAGGCTGCAGGTCTTCCTGGGCCTCAGCTCAGCCGAGCTGCAGGTAACACCTAAGCTGCATCAAGTCTGCCAGGGCAGAATTACTCTTCAGAAATGTTTTGATCAAATTTGAAATAAGAGAGTTGATTCATCCCATGGCTTGCACCATGAGACTTTGAGCCTGGTGCCTGGAAATAGGAAGACTTGCCATTGCAGGAAGGCAGGGGTATGGGGTACCTGCCTTTGCAGGCAGTGGGCAGGAGGGAGTCCTCTGCTAGGCACTCCACAGTGTTTTAATTAGACCCCAATTAACTTTTCTTCCCTGGCTGTGAAGAAGGCTTGGAGTCCAGCCAGGCAAATCAGATTTCTAAAAATGGATGAAAATACTTGGGGAAAGGACTTCTCTGTGAAAGGAGACTGAAAGATGACCTTGTTTATAAAAGGAGTGGGTGGGGGGAGCAACACAATGGATGGGTACAAAATGAGGAGTGATACTGTGCTATCTTGCTTTCCATTTATCAGTAAATGGCAGGTGAATGATAGACAAAGACAATGCATTTAAAGTTCTTTTTAATGGAACATTTGTTTCTATGGTGCTGACATGTGACACCTAGTGCCATTAGACAATTTTGAGGCAAAGAGGATGAGAACATTTATGTGAATAATGGGAAGAGTAACATTTGTGTTTTTTTCCTACAATCTCCTTAGCATTTTGCTTAAAGGATTATTTTCTTAAACCACTTTCCTTTTCATAATTAGGTTTTATGAACTCACCTTCTCTCAGATGATGACTAGGAAGAAAATTCCCATATGAAGAATTTGTTTCGTAATTGTCAACAGACAGTTGGATTTTATGTGGTGTCTTGCTCTGAGCACTGAGATAAAACACCAGACAGTATACAGATCTCTGTAGTAGTTCTCATGTAATGTTAAATACTTGTGTGATTTTTCTCTCTTTCACAATCCATTAACTATGGCTTAACATGGGTATTTGTGACTATGACTGGCCTCACTGCACTTCACTTTGTGTCTGTCCCTGGCTGGACTGCTGCTCATAATCTTATAATGTGCTTAAAGACTAATTTGGAATGTCACATAAAGGTAGCTGCTGTTTTTATTTAAGGCTGTGTTGCATCTGCAGGTTATAAGCTTAGCTTATAACTAAGCAAAAGACTTCCATGGTTCCTTCTAGTTTCTAAGGGCAGCATAAATTTTGCTTCTAAGCTGTAAAATCCTTTGAGGCTTTAGGGTCTGTTTAGCTTTCCAGTCATTTCTGTCTTTCTGTCAGCTTTCATCCAGGAGCTGACACCTCTTTGGATGCTTGAGCTAATACATTTTCGATTCCTACATCTGTGGCTCACTGGAGGCCTTGTTAGTACAAGCTACTTGTATCCTGCTCTAAAGAGCACTTAATGATCTTTACAAGGAGCTGAAGCTTTATTTGGGTTGTTTTGATGAGCATTTTTTGGTTGAAGACAGAAATCATGCAGCTGATTTTAGAGTCTGATGTGTCATTTTGTGTTTGACTCAAAACATACACTTCTACCATTTCTATATACCCAGAAATGTTACTGGCTGAATTTACAGCCAACCAAGAAAAAACACTCAATCAATAAAGTGTGCTTGGTTCCTTAAAAGCTGAAAATAGCAGAATCCTTTGGAATACACAAATACCACGCATGTTAGTGCAACAGTTAGATCAAGTAACCTTTGGGGAAAATATTGCATTGCATGGACAACTGAGAGCCATTATGGTTGTGTTACAGCACAATTTGCCTAGACTAAAACAAAGATTTCAGTAAAGACAGATTAGTGCTGAATCACAGATTCCCATCAATTGCAGCAATGTTTTGCCTTTGAAAGGAAAAGTGATCTCGGATTTTTTTTAATGGAATTCAACCTAGGTAAGCAATGAAGTACCTCAGAAATGAGAAATCGAGACAAATGAAGTGAGATTTTTATAAAACTAAATTTATATGGTAAGATACTAGAAAAAGGTGTGCATGTGCTTATGTTTTTGTGTCTGGTTGTGTGTTTTGTTGATTTTCTAGAATACACAGGGTGTTTAGAAAAACACTTGCAAACATACAAACTACAAAACCAATGTTGCTAATTTTCTGTATTTAATATACAATACTTACTGCATTTGTATTCATTTTACATTTTTAGATAAAAGAAAAATATAGCTAGAAGGGTGAAGCAGTTTTAAATACAAAACTAATTTTTTGCATTTTTACTTTTCAATAATTTGGGAACAACTAAAGAGAACTCGACACTGTGAAAAATTTTATTATATTGATTTTCATACTGAAGCCTCAGCACCCAACAATAAATACACAACTTTGCTTTTCTTGCACTGCCAGCAGCAAAACGTTCAGTTTCAAAGGACTGTAATTCTGATATAATACATTATTGATAGCTTTCTGTGTGCCTTAATTTAATTCTGCTGTATTGACACATGATTAGTTTTGCAGTCAACCATCTTTACAAACTTGTAAAAGCTAAAGAATATGTTATATGGTAAGGTGCATGCTCCGATGAACTTCA